CGCTTGAACCGTAACATTCCAAGAGTGGCCATTTTCAAATTGTGTTCACGAGTTTTGATCTCGCTTAGAAACAGACGACGAAATTTTACAAGTCATGTGTCGCTGTGACGTATTGCTTGTGACTGTGGCGTCACAATTTTTACTATCAATACAACTTTCTCTCGTACTACGTAAGCAAATGATGAATTTTTCGAGTAAATAATTAAATTAATCGAGCCAACAACACGCGAGACTTGCTTATGATCAACTTCTTTGTTTGTATTGAATGAGCGTCATGGTCTTTGATTCATGTTTCTCTATGAATCTAAAATTTCCCTTCTTATGTGGCTTGGAACTGGTAATTTTACCATAGCTCAAAAAAACATTTACGTACATTGAGAAGAACAATACCCTAAATTTTATCTGTAGTGGAATTCCCTACTCCATAGCCGTTCATCTAATCGTCATGACGTTAAATGCTCCAAGTGGCGCGTAATCCATCATCACAATTCAATACAGTTTTAGTATCTCTCGATATTTCACTGATCTCTCGTAACGTTCATACCGTTAATCAGAGATGAGTTTCCTCAATTTCTGAGATTTGAGCTGATTCTATTAAAAAAATAAAACCTCGCAGCACAACATATCTAAAACTGAGATGTATTTGGAAATTGTATTAGACTAAACATGGCCGTAGTAATGTAGACCCGCACCGGTCGAATTAAAAAAATTACGATTTTAAGGTTTGAATTGTAATCAAATTTGTACGCTGATAAACTAAAATAACCCAATCATTAAAAAATGACATATTCACCATTGGCAACATGTTTATTGATGATTTAAGATAATATTTCAATTAAGTATTTATTTGTTGATTCGAAATTTAGCCACTGAAATCGCGTAATTAAATTGTACAAAAGCTGATTGAAAATAAAACTCGATTTTTTTCATATTTCCCAATGTTGGAATAGAGTTGGATATATTCCCGCAATCACTATTTGAATATCATCTTTCGCAGATGGTCATTATAGGGAATTGCAAAAAAAGTAGTTCGGGGACTGTCTGTGTTAGCCAAGTGAATATACCCTCTGTCCATAGGTTCCAGTCCCTTTATACAACTTGATGTAAAGTAGGCGAACAAAATTAGTTACCTCCATATTGGTACACATACTTCTGGAGCGCTGAAATATTAGTGTCCTTATTTGAAAATTATATTTGTGTGCTAATCTAAGTAAGCTCAAGTTTGATGTTAAATTAAGCATGCACTAACGCATGGGGCATCTTTAGTGCTGCCCATGTCTTGTATGTTTCAGATTGGTGTGCCATTCGGTGGGAAGCCTTTGGCGCGAAGCTACTATCTTGAAAATTCCAATTTGTATGGCTACTTAAACCTTTTATATGCAATATGAAAGATTTTACAAGTTACTAGTTTAAACAGAGAATTCAGTATGGATACAATCAATATTCTCTAGTTTTCTAGCTTTAGGTTATGACGCAATATTCTTGAGTGTTTTGTTGTGTGACGACACCATCGGGTACCCAACAAAAATGTTTTGGGAAATTCCAGAAATTGCTCTTTCGGATTGTTATGGCCTCGAGCAATCCATTCCATAAGGCCGCATGTTTCAATAATAGAATAGTATACTGAGCAACTCCACACCTAGAATCGACACGCCGGTTATTTATTCTCCATACACTCGTATAAATATTAATATCTTCAGAACAAATCTAGGCAATTGCCTTTTTATATTATAAAAAGGATCATACATTTGTCGGTTTGACCATGTTCTACATCGGAAGTTCTACATCAAACAGTTGCGAGCATGTTTGCACAAGATATAAACAATGTTCAAATACAAGCGACATGCCTCTTTTGCGAAGTATATACTGTATGCCAATTACAGTTAGTCTCATTAGTCTGCTTTTGAAATATTATTGTTCCTATTTGAGAATTATATTTGGGTGCCAATCGAAGTGAGCTTAAAATTGATGTCAAATTATGCCGGTACTAATGCATGGGGTAAAATCTTTATTGATTGCTGCCCATGTCTTGTATGTTTCAGATTAGTTTGTGCCATTCGGTGGGAACTCTTTGGCGCGAAGCTACTATCTTGATAAAAATTCATTTTGTATGCCTACTCAAACCTTTTAACTGGAATAGGAAAATCGTACAAGTTACTATTTTAAACAGGAATGAAACCCAAATTGCGTGTTTATGGCAGGCTCCAAGCAAAGGTGGGTAATCTAGTAATGATACAATCAATATTCCCTAGTTTTCTAGTTTTAGATTATGACGCAATATTCTTGAGTGTTTTGTTGTGTGACGATACCATCGGGTACTCAACAAAAATGTTTTGGGAAATTCCAGCAATTGCTCTGTCGGATTGTTATGGCCTCGAGCAATCCATTCCATAAGGCTGTATGTTTCAATATTAGAATAGTATACTGAGAAACTCTACGCCTAGAATCGACACGCCGGTTATTTATTCTCCATACATGACGCTAATAAGCAAATTTTAACATTTTTCGTAGTTGTGTCTCTCAGCATCACCTTGCGGACAATATGTAATCGGACATTTCGCCGTCCCGTTGAAGTACTAGTAATCGTATAATATAATTCCCAGTGTGTGCCTGCTGTTCAATAGTTTGTTAAATGCGATTCTGCAAGTCCAGGCCCACAATTAAATATAGGCCCACCAGACTTACTGGCTTGGGTTATATTATAATCTCAAATATAGGCGCCCTGTATAACTGGTATAGTGGTATAACTATCAGCTGCCCTGGCATAAGTATTTCTCTAAGAAAGCATCTTTGCTTGATAACTATTTGTTCCGACGATCGCTCATTGTCGGCGATTAAAAGAATAATAAATCACCTGTGGTCTTCTATGGAAAAAGAAGATTCTGATGTCAGCATACCAAGAGGCACTCTAGCTCTGAGTTCTGACACGGGCAAATTACGGCCCGCGGGCGAAATTTGGCCATTGAGTAATTCAATATGGCCCACTCAATGCTACCCCAAAGTTTGATGTTTAGCTAAAAAAAAATAGCTCAATGAATTTGTTTAGATTGCGATTAAACTCAAGTTTTGGCACGAGGCTTATTGCTTTTGCAATACTGTAAATATTCTTCATAAAATGTAACTTTATACGTCACAATTACACGGCCCGCTAGTTCAGTTGGGCCCCATTTTTGACTCCTTGTCCAAAAACCTTGCCCACCACCGCTCTCTAGCTCTCGACTGCATTGAAAACAAAATTTTGAAAAAAAAGAGAGACCGATGATGTTATTGAGTGATTTACTTTGTACAAACTCAGAAAACATCTCATTCGGTGTTTAATTAAGTAAACAATCTGGGTTGGTTACGCGCAAGGATATGAATGAAATATATCCTTCGATTACAATTTGTCCCCAGACTTCCAAGTCCATGGAAATTTAATCGATACCCCCGTAGTGTTTGTACCAGGTTAGGGTTAGGCCATGATTTTATTTCGATTTTTCCTATTTTAGTTCTGTTACGAGTTCGGGGACTGTCTGTGTTAGCCAAATGTTTTCAGTCCCTATACACAACTTGATGTTAAATAGGCGGACAAAATTAGTTACCTTTATATTGGTACACATACTTCTGGAGCGCCGTATAATTAGTCCTGTGCAGCTTCCCTATTAAGGCTATTCATCAAATGTCTATGCTCGATTTTAATAGTTAGAAAGTGAAATTTTAGAGTGGAGATGTCAAATTATCCTCATGTATTCGCACTATATTGTCAAATGCTTGTAAATGATGAATAATTACACGTAATTCATTTGCTTATCAGGTCAGGGCCATGGATGGAACATTATTTTGTTTCACGTCTAAGCTTGGTCAAAGTTTCATAGAAGCACACATATATACTATTGACAAATTCAATTTAATATGATGTTTGATTTGAAATATTGTGCTGGACAATTTCAACATTTTAGCATGTACGGTAATGGACTATAAAATATAGTAGTATTTTATATATAAGGAGGCAGAATTTCGTTTGTTCATATCCACAAGACAGTGAAGGCGAGTGAGAGTTGTATAGTCGGATTATGACTATAATTTATTCACTGAACAAAGAAGTTCTGTAAGAGATGCTTTGTAAAGATAGCTGTTGCACAGGGTGTCTCAAAAGTATACACTTTCAATTTTGAATTGTTTCCCAGATACTTATCATAGAGCTCTCATTTCTTCAGAAAACATAGTACGGATAAGTAGTAAAATTTAGGTATTGTTTGCATTTTTCATCAACCCACATAATGACAAGAAGATTAAACCAAGAAATGAGGTGAAGTATATAAATCAGTAGGGCAGATTCGTGCCTCTTTAACAGAGCATTTGGAATTAATTAAGCTCTGAATGTTTTCCTCAGAGTGTCCGCTACTTGCTTTTTCTGATTTTTGTGTATCATCTACAGATCCAGTTTTCATAAATTAACGATGAATTGCATATATTGCTCGTCGTGTAGGAGCGAAATGAATTCCAAATTATCTGTTAAAGAGGCGCTGAGTTTGCCCCACTGATTTATATACTTCTTGCCAAACAGCAATTTTGCACCTAATTTTTTGGTTTAATTTTCTCGTCATTCTGTGGGTTGATGAAAAAGCAAACAGTACCTAAATTTTACTACCACTACCTATCCATACTATGTTTTCTAAAGAAATGAAAGCTCTGTGATGAGTACCTGAAAAGCAAATCAAAATTAAAAGTGTATACTTACTTTTGAGACACCCTATATATATATATATATAGTACTTAGATGCGAGTATGTCGTTATTTCAAAATCTAAGCGTAAATTTTTTTCATGCTCGCTTATATTCATAAAATGAACTCATATAAGACTTGCGAGCTGTTACTGAAGCGCTAAGAGGAATGTCACAGGTCACAGACGGGACAGAAGACATTAGTCTGTTACGTGTGTTGATTTTATATTTCACACAAGTTTTGAACTATTTTCACCCAAGTAATTCCACTTTGTGGGATTTCTTTCCATCCAGCAGCTTTCTGACTCGAGTGACATGAAAACCTTCAAGAACCATTGGAAAATCAAATCCTGCAACTCTTATTTATAGTCAGAATAAGTTTTCAGTTAGCTCCATAGATTGACCGTTTATTTACCAAGAATGATGCTGTCTTCGGCGCTTGTTTTTGCTGGTTTATTCGTAGCCTGCTCTGTTGAAGGATATGGTGACAAATTTGCTCAAAGATTTCCGAAATGGAACAACATTGAAGTCAGGAGTGTAAGTCAGAAAACGTGATATTTCCGTTTGCTTTTTAGGATTTGTTAGAGTTATAGGATATGGTGATGAAAGTAGAGTTGTAAGTCAAGACTTAATTTGGCTAAGGTTTTTTATCTATCGTAATCCAAAACATACCGTGAACCTCACTTCGTATGCTTACTCTAACCATTTGCATAAAGTTTTATTGCGAAAGTCGTCTTCTTTTACTGTACTGCAAACAATATAATAATGTATAGTTTCAGTAGCTTTTGGCACTTCAGAGGTCGTCTATGACGTTGATCAGAGATTAATCTGCTTTTCTTCTGAGTAGTACGCGTGACTATTTATTGGACACGTTTAGTGGCCATAACGATCGTTTCAAAATTTTGTTGTTATTGTTATTTGTCTCCGTCTCCATTTCTAAAAAAATGCTCTTCTCTTCGAATACTGGACCAATTGCTTTGATATTTTCAGAGGTTAAAGATAAAATTTTTCTCCAGAAGGCTATTACTTTTTTTTCTCGCTATGACGTCATCAAAATTATTGCCACTGGGTGGCGCTACGTGTCCATATATTTGAGCATAGCTCTCTTGTTTCTCAATAACAAAGCTCGGTCTCAGCTAGGCGCGACTACATTTTGGGCATGGCATGGGTTTAAAACATTAGACACACAGTAGAAAATTATTATAGAAGTATGTCTGCAAACCAACGAGATTAAACTTCAACAGCAAGCGGAATCAAGTTCATTACAGATTATAAAACCGCATGTTTCCGTGTGTGAAATATTAACTGTAATGCGAAGGTGAAATTCAACTCACAATATGGAATTAGAGCTAATCACTTCTGTCTATTTAACGTTTACTGAATCATTCATCTATTTCAGATTACCCAAACATCAGCAGAGGTACGTTGGCCTCTCATTCCATTCGTTGATCATTACAAAGTATACACCATACAACCAGTAAGTTGCAAATAAATTGTGTCAATTCGAATTGCTGTTTAAACATTGTTTATATTTAAAATAGTCATAACAAAGCCAAGGGCTTTTACTTTTGTATCATACGAAAGTCTCAAGCCTGCACTAAGAACATTTTCAGCATTCTGAAATCTTTATATACATCCCGGGTGCAAAAACCGATAAAACAGCCTAATTGTGTGTCAGTAACTTGTTTCAGAAACACCTAACCAGTAATCCGCCCATTACACGAGTAATATTAGAGCGCTGGATGATCTATTTTATGTATATAATTTATAAATTTATATGACATCGCTTAAATTGCTTCCTCCAATAAATCATATCACAGCCCGACAAGAACCTAGACTGCTTCAACCCACAAACTCCATTGCAATCCCATGTGCCTTTGAAAATTATTAAACCCAATACCAATTTTATTTGTGTTTCAGTACAACTCTGACAAGACACCAGAACTTAGAGAATTTGTAACAGCAACGCAAGCAAATAAAAACGAAGGTTACGCTTCGATAAAGATCAGCAGACTACCAACAGGAGAATACGTCAATGTCTATATTACAGATATCTTTGACGAAACATTAGGATACGTCCCGGAGTTGTTCTTTACAAGTAAGATAGGATTTACATATATATATATCTCGGGGGTAACGGAAAGTCGATAAAGCGGCTTAATCATATGGCGTACCACAGCCTCTCGTTCAGTTACCAGAACATGTCGGGTATGGGGTTAGGTTCCATTACATTTGAACCCACGTACATTTGAACCCATGACAATTGCACCTGTATACTATTGCACCTATGGACTTTTTTTTGTTTCACGGATAGTTAAACCCATACTAACCCTAACCCATGGGTTTTAGCACCCGCATATAGATTGAACTCGTGGATATACGCATGGGTTCAAATGTACATGGGTTCAAATGTACGGTCACCATGGGGTTAGATAGCCAGCTATTTGTTTTCAAATGCATGGACATGGTGGAGAAAGCCGTAACTGACCAGCGGTTATGTGAACCAATCTACGGCGGCGAGGAGTCCAGCAATCCTCTACGCACATAATTTCGAACCTGCAAACCCACGTATGCTAATCAGAGGTGCGGTGCCGACCGTATTTCTAACGCTTAGCACGATGCGCCACATCTCCGAGCCCAGGTATACTAAATAAGCTTCATTTGTTCTGTTACGTAATTGCTAGGATGACGAGAGACGTTGCTATGAACAAACAACAACTCAGAAACACCGATTTTTATATTTAAATCAGTGTTCTCCAACGTTATTAACCGTGCGAAACTCCTGATATACTTTTGGACTTATTATTGAACCATTTTTAAGGAACATTTTGCAAGATCAAATAGGCAAGCAACATACGGCGTAAACGTACAGACTAAAAGGCAGATTATTGGCTATTGCAAATTAGGCTATGCGTGGTCCATTATAACGTCAAAGACCATCAGCCCAGATCATAAATAACTTTAAATCGTTTAACCGTAACATATAAATAGTTAACTAATCACATACCTGACATGGACTTGTAGCCAGTCGAGAGGCCGTGGTTCTCCATATGATTAGATCGTCTTATTGGCTTTCCTCTCCTCCGGAATAAATATGGAATCCATTAAAATTACTATCTCCGAAACCCAATCGATATCGATGCTAGAAGCCAATAGGTCCCAACTGTCTCCACCATTTTTTTTGAGCTCCGGAAGTATGTGTACCAATATGGAGGTAACTCATTTAGTCGCCTACTTTACATCAAGTTATGTTGAGCGACTGTAGCCTATGGGCAGGGGGTATATTCACTAAGCAAACACAGACAGTCCCCGAACTCGTAATAGAACTAAAATAAGAAAAATCGGAATAAAATTAGGACCCAAACATAACCTGATACACATACGATGGAAGTACCACTTTTATATATTCTCCATGTTTACAGATTGTCGTGACGGTTGGAGCAGATGCCCGATCGAAAATCAAAGATACGAATGTCGGTTATCATGCAGGACTCATTGAAAGAAATAAGCTACCAATCGGGCAATATTTCAGAGGCAATTCACTGCAAATGCTGCAAAGCAAAGATTTTAACTCATTCATATATTCATTACGTATATATCCATATTATATTTTGTAACGCTTTGAACAAAATACACTAAATAGCACGTATGTATGTATTCAGAATTCCGTTATGTTTGTTTATTGTTTTCATGATTTCATGGCACCAATACAGAATTGATAATAGTGTAGGTCATGGGTGCGCGACCTCTAATACAGGATATAGAAATAACTTTGTGAAACTGCGGTCTCATCTTAGCATAGATTATCAGTCAAGGGTGGGCACGGTTTTCAGACTAGGGGCCAAAAATTTTACTCACTTAGACTGGTCATGTATGTGTGACGTATCAAGTTACATTATAAGAACAAACACACACAGTGTTGCAAAAGCTTAGGGGAAAACGATAAACCCAGTACCAGGACTAAATTTGATCACAATCTCAACAAATTCCTTGAGCTATTTTGAACAAAACATCCAAATTTGCGTTTAGTTGGGTTGTGGCAGCATCAGACTGGCCAGATTGAATTGCCTGACTGGCTGGATTTATCCCGCGGGCTGTACTTTGCCCATGCCAGGGCTATCTGGTAGTTGCAACACCAAAATTTTGGTTATTGATCTTGTGACATGCGTTGTTTGTACAAAATAGCTGTTAAGACATTGTAACATTGTAAAGTCAGCGACGAGGCATAGATCAGGTTGGATTAGCCATTAATTAAGCAAAATAAGCACGTGCTTAGGGGGAAAAACAGAAATTAAATTTTTAAAGTCGAAATTTCAATTGCGCTTCAGTGTGTAATGGAGTAATTAGAGTTTGTATGACGACTCAAACCTCAATATTGTCCCCGTTAAAATAAATTTTGCTTTTTTCCTTAAAAGTATCATTTTAAACCTCTATAAATGTTTGTAGGTTTGAGAACCACCAAGTGAGAACATAGGATAGGATTTACATATTTATCCCGGGGGAGAGGAAAGCCGATATGGCAGCTTAATCATATGGCGAACCACGGCCTCTCGTCCGGTTACCAGGTCGGGTATGGGATTAGTTAGCCAATTATTTGTTTTCGGAAGCATAGACTTCGAGAACTAAGTAAGGTCGATGTGTTAGTAAAAAGCTTAGTTAACACTGTTCTGCTTAGTGGGGGTACTGCTACTATACTGGAATTCTGGTACCGGTATTGCGGCATTTAGCCATAAGGAATATCGAACGTCAAGAAGTAACGTTACACTACTACCGTTCTAAATACTGGTATATGTATAAAAACAAATATCGGATTTAGTGACGAATAGCGTGTTTTACTGTATTGAAGTTGCGGTGAAATGTTATTTTTAACTTTTATCGACTTACGCTTTTTAACAGTAAAACTGTTAAAAAAGCCAGTCGTTTAACGTTCAAACGGCATTTCACAGTATCTTTTATAATTTACTGTTAAATGCTATTTAAAACAGTTTTTAACTGACGCTTTTTAACAGTAATGCTGTTAAAAAAGCCGGTCGTTCAACTCTTGAATGGCATTTCACAGTTACTATTAGAAGTTACGGTTAAATGCTATTTAAAACATTAATTGGCTGACGCTTTTTAACTGTAATACTATTAAAAAGAGCCTGTCGTTTATCTTTCAAATGGCATTTCACAGTTACTATCAGAAGTTACGGTTAAACGCTTTTTAAAAATTTTTTGACTGACGCTTTTCAACAGTATTGCTGTTGAAAAAGTCAGTAGTTTAACTTTTGAATGACATTTCACAGTTACTTCTTAATGTTACGGTGAAATGCTATTCGAAACATTTATTGGCTGACGCTTTTTAACAGCGATACTATTAAAAAAAGCTGGTCGTTCAACTTTTGAATGACATTTCACAGTTACTATTAGAAGTTACATTCAAATGCTATTTTGAAATTTTTATGATTGACGCTTTTTAACAGTAATGCTGTTAAGAAAAAGCCTGTCATTCAACTTTTGAATAGCATTTCACAGTGACTTTTTAAAGTTACGGTGAAATGCTATTTGAAACATTTATTGGCTGACGCTTTTTAACAGTAATACTATTAAAAAAGGCCAGTTGTTCAATGTTCAAATGGCATTTTACAGTTACTTTATTTAAGTGTTCAAACGATTTATTGACTAACGCTTTTTAATGGTAATATTATTGAAAATAGCCAGTCGTTCAACATATGAATAGCATTTCATCGTAACTTCTATACTATAAATATTCGATTTCACTGATGGGGTTAGCTTTGGTTACAACGCGAGACTGACTCTATTTAGTCTTGCTCTATTATTCTGACGTATTTGTAGGCGTATAATAATGTGAGGATGCAGAAGTCAGAATTGAATTAACCATTAAGCAAAATACAGGTGCATAGGACACCAATAAAAATGGGGATCACAGAAATTTTCATCGCTGAGTTTTCAATAGTTCCTCAGCGTTCAATGCAAGGATTGGTCTTATTGGTCAGGTGATTCAGACCTTAATATTGGCCCGGTTCAAATAAATTTTGCTTGTTTTCCTTTCCAAAGGAACATCTTCAATGTTTACAGACACTATTTTTACAAAATATATAAATTAATCATAATTTGGCAGGGCATAGCCAGAAATTTTCCAAACGCCGGTAAACGAGTGTTTTCATGAGTCTTGTGAGTCTAAAAAGCATTTCAAGCTACGAAAAACTGATATGCATGATACAGAAAGATGCTTATATTTTTTTTACATTTCACAAAAAGGGGGGGGGGGTCCGACCCCCAAAACCATCCCCCTGGCAACGTCACTGTAATTTGGCTTCCAATCGGTAATAAATACTGAAACTTACTTTCAATTTCACATAACACGGAACGCTTGTTAGATTCCTGCTTTTATTTTTTATTTTTATATACATGGCATCAAAGTCTTGAGTGCTTATGGCCTCTAAAGGCTATGATCCGGCACTGACATAGATAATAAATTGGACTCGTGTATAGGCTTCGCAACGCAAAAAATTGAAATTACTCGCGCTTACCAAATTAAATCAAAAACCTACTTCGCGGGCAACACATCGTTGAAAATAGGCACTTCTCCGCGGGCCGCATAGTTTTTCCTTGCAGGCATTTGGCCCATGCACGGGCTTTAGGATGCACACCCTTGGTGTAGCAAACGTATGAGGCACGAGTCAAAAGCACCTAATTGCGAGCATATAGGCAGAAATCTATTTTCACTCGTACAAATTTTTCGAAACTAAATTATAGCAATAATATAGCTTGTTTTTATCAATATAGAAATGAAACAGTTTTGCATGGATGAATTAGATCGCGCATTAATGTCATGGACATGGTCCGTGTGAGCCGTTTATCATATTTACCAACGTCCATAAAGTTAAATACAAATATTAGTATTACTCACGTTAAAGAGCGTCAGAATTGCATCGTTCATGGCCACAAATAAACCATCCCTAAAGTACGATTTCATTGTTACATCACACTTGATTGTTTTATGATATCGATTGTGTATCTGCATGCTGCGTGAGTGCGTAAATAATGACGGTAATATCTGAAATGATTCACTTGTATCCGAGTATTCATATTGTTTGTTGATTCACCGAGTACCGGAATGCGTTGTGTCAGTAGACCAAGGCTTCGGTTTAGTACAAGATAGCAATGCTATGCGTTAGAATCATTTTATACTTGTTTTTCCTGCTGTATGCGAGTGGAATAATTGGTGAGTCGTAGCATTATTTATATACATAAGGGTGTAGTCAGGATAGTTTGTTGGGGGTTGTTGTGTTATTTGAAAACACTTGGTTGGATATGTAACTCTTGCATTGCCAGTTTCTGAAAATAATTAGGGCCTTTCAATAGGGATGAATGTGGGATATAATTGAATGAGAATAAATGCGAATAATAGTAGGAAAATATGTTTGTGTTTTTTGACCATTGATGGTTTCCCGTGACTTGACTTCAGTTGGCTTCCAGTAGATCAGAGATGTTCAAATGCTAATAGTAATACTGGGATATTGTGCATTAAACAGCAGGTCCTTTCTCCTTGTTTACGTCCTACTTCGGATCCATATGTGACCGCTGCCATTAGAATACTTGAACCAGAGAGTATTAAAATGATAAATAGGAATAAGAATATCTCCTTCCGCTCAATCTAAATCTAATCAAAAGAGTTAGTTTGTCGTTTATAATGTATTTGTGTCATCATGCATCTAAAAATGAGTTACACATGCTTAACGTGGTATCAAGTGAACCTTTTGTTGATCGGTAATTGGCGACTAAGCCAAACTACTGGCAACTATCTTGAAACTTTTATTTTTTGCAGCTGGTAACAGTTCAGAAATGTCGAAAAAAGATGAAAAAGTTTGTCCAGTGAACGATCTGTAAGTCTATTAGGAAGCGAAATAAATTCATATTATTGCACATAATTGAAATTTCATTGTTATTTTCAGGGAGAAAAACGTGAAAGTATACGAAAAGCCTATTGAAAATGCCATTAAAATCATAAAGGTATGGATTTTTGTGAAACTTTTTTAAAACAGATTAAAAATAACAAAAAAAAATCTTACATTATTTTTTTTTCTAGCAGAAAATCTTTTTTACTATCACGTGTGATAAAAACTAATAAATCCCCAAAGAAATAAGAAATAAAAATGAAGGGTGGTAGAGAAAGTTTGGACCTCCTGAAGTATGCGCATCAAGATGGCGCACAACCTGAACTCAGGTTGTGTACCAGGTTAGGATTCAGGTACTGCGACATCTTGGTCCGCATACTTCAGGAGTACCGAAAGTTTGCATATACATTCACGACCAAAAGCTAAAAAACGGCATAACAATGTGCAACGGCACTAGAAGTGGGATATTGCGAGCGGTATCAAGCACGATATTATATTAACTGAAGCGAAAAATTATTTACCCGTTTCCAATGAAGTTTGAAGCTGCGAAAAAAATCTTTACAACATTCTTGTCGAATATGAAATGCTAAATCCACTGCACTCGATTACAACCTCACCACTTTAATTCTCTGAATCTTTGATAACCTGTTTTATTGCTAAATACGAAACCTGGCTTAGATCATTAGCATTTTATACTTTCTGCTTCTATAGTCGGATAAAACATCGGCAGAGATAGAATGGAAAGCGATTGAAGGAGCAACAGAATATAGAATACACTATCTGGAAGCGGTAAATCTGTTTGTGATTCTTGTTTCTATTTATCTCTCTGCGCGCTCAAATTGGACTTCAAGAATTGGCGGATGAGTCTTCTGAAACGTCGGTTTGTTGGGAGGACAGTAATCATTTTGATTCGGCATTTCCTGCGTAATTTTACACCATCCTGAATCAGGAAATTTTAAATATACGTTCGCATTTTTATATCCAACGCTCCAACAAATATATACAGCATTTATATTTTTTTCCCAATTTATAGTATATGGTATCACCACTTAAGGGTTCATTTTGTGTTTTCTCTATTTATTGACGTTGTTTTTTCTTACTAACTCCTTTGAACAAACAGTTTTGTATACTCCACCCTTACCCCTGTTACCACACCCACCCACCCGCACCCTAGCACAACTGTCTGTATAAAGAACATTCGTGTGTTTCAGGCCAATATGGTCTTGTGCATACATCCCGTCTTCAGTATTGATAATTACTAACTCTTTTATATTGATTTACGAGCCGAATAAACATACATATGAATAATTTTGCAGACATGAAATCTTAAGACGTTTATTTGCTATAGTCTTGTTGTTGTCGTTGTTTGGGTAGTTTTTATTGTTCATATATTTGAGCACTACTCTATTTTATGTTTCTAGATGATGGCGGATAAGAAAGCTTATGGTGGACCAATTCTAGGCTGTGCTGAAGCTGGATCAACCATGTCAGCTACCATAAACAACTTGCAGAAAAACCAGGACTATTCAGTTTGGATTCGAGTTGAAAGAGATGGCAAATTTTTGGCCATTTTGAACGGGGATAAAATCCCTAAATCCCGCCCATGAATTGTATAAACCTTCTTGTCAAAATATCAAAGTATATCAAAGTATATTCGAACATTACAACAGAACATTTTTTCTTGAAAATTTAAGGCAATAAATATTATATTTAGAAAGTCGAATGTCTACATTTCTTGCGCTACCGGTCGAGTGGAAGAGATAGTTTTATTATTTCATCACCCAAAATATACAGTTATCAATCAAATAGCAACAGAAATAAAATTGGTTTGGTATGGACATGAGGGAGCGATACGATAATTCATCGAGGTCAGCTCCCACCATATTCCCTGATGTGATCAAAATTCACACAGGAAGATGACTGACTAGTAACAAAACATGAACTAGTACGATATTATATAATATGACAATGTCTTGATTTGGGTATTAAGGAAACCTACTAAACCCAGAAAAAGATTATGCGGCTGTCAGGTTGCTTAGTTCTTAAATTTGCTCCGCGTGGGTTCGCAGGTTGGAATCCCTTGGAATAATTATGTGCGAGAGGATTTTGGTACTTTCTCGTCGCCATGGGGTGGTTCAAGTAACCGGTGTTTTTGTGTTATATAAGAGAGAGAGAAAGAGATGTTTAATTAACCAGAAAACAGGAAAACAATCACTGCAACAATAAAAATATACAACATTCCCCCTAAATTCAAGAGTTTTAAATCAGATAAGTTAGTTATTTTAACTCTTGCTACAGCCTCCTTGCAATATATGCATACGGATCCACCGACACGAAAGCATAGAAGAGTGATAGGTAGTTAGTTTCGCAGAAACCAAATCATACCCTTTAAACTAAATGTACATTAAAAGTAATTTTAGTTTAATTTGCAAAGATCAAAAATCCGTACATTGGTTTATTTTTTATTTGATGAAGCTACCTCATTGGCTATTATATTCTCCGGAAAATTTTAGATTCATCTTTCTTCCGACATTCAGTACACTACACGATGAACAAGAGATAATTTTTATGACGTCATAGCGAAATTTTTTTTTATCTTTAACCACTGAAAATTTCAAAGCAATTGGTCCAGTATTCGGAGAGAAAAGCGATTTATTCAAAACGTTTTGATGGAGACAAATAATACCAATAACAACAAAATTTTGAAACGATCGTTATGTCCACTACGTGTCCAAAAAGTGTATGAAAATATACCACGTGACCTGACTTTGATACGCGCGAGTGCATTTGCACATTTTATAAAACGTACGTCTTGCGTTTCAGCGTCGGCGTGTTGATTGATTCAATTTTTACGCGTTTTCATGTTTTACTTCGCCAGAATCTGAGAATAGAACAGTATTATTTCGATGGGAGATAGACTAATTGTATTTTTATCCTTTGCGGTAGAAGTTATGGTGACCGTACATTTGAACCCATGTGTACCGGTACCGGTATATCCGCGGGTTCAATCTATATGCGGTTGCTAAACCCATGGGTTACGGTTAGTATGGGTTCAAATATCCGCAAAAAAAATTTCATGATGCAATAGTATGCAGGTGCAATTGTCGTGGGTTTAAATGTAAGGGAACCAGAAGGTATAAGTATGTTCAACCGCGTGCAATGTACAGATGTAGGACAATAGGATGTTAAATTTTCCGATTTTATTTTGAGAAAAACAAGAAAACGTGAACATTCACCTATCCACTGTACATACAGACATAGGCCATAAATATACGGTATCATATGAATTTAACAAAGTATCCCATCATAATTTTAAATCAAATTAAAAACAGCAATATCAGAATATTGTATTTTGAAATTCAAACTACAGAACTACAAAACAAAATTCGGGTCTGGTATAGTTTAGTACTGTAGTATCACATGTCTGACTTCTAGTTGGCCTGGCTCCACAATTATTGCATATGCCATTTCTAACCCCCACCCGACTGCGTCATCCAAAAATTACGGTACGGGTCTAATATAGTTTAGTACCACAAGTACTTCCGGTTGATGTAGAATAACGAATAACATATGTTATTCCTAACCCCTACCTAACTATGTCATCCAAAAATTTATGTTCCAACGGCATCACAATCACATAGAGCTTGCCAAAGTATGGCTACGATTGCTCGAAACGGTATCTGCATCGACGGTAACGAACTCACTAATGCCAGTGTTCTCTCACATATCGGGATCGCTGGGGGTCCTTATTACGCCACTGTGTCATCAGAGTTTAGTGACGTAGTCACTAGTCAGGTGGGGGTTAGGATTGACATATGCAAAAATTGTTGATTCAGGTCAACTAGAAGTGTATGTGGTACTAAACTATACCAGACCCTTATGGCCCTTGCTTCCCAATAGTTCTAATAACTTCTACAATTTCCGTATTTTGGTATTAGAAAGCTGTAAGTATAAAAGTTTATGGAAACTTGCTCGTAGGTAGCTAGTTTCACTCGGGCTGTCACAAGTTTGTAGAGCGTTGCTCACAACTTGAACCAGCATGGCGTTTCAATATGGAATGCAACCTCCACCAGGTATGCCACCACCTGGTATGCCACCTGGAATATCACAACCTCCCCCTCCTGCTGGTGGACTCAGTGAGGAACGATTACAGGTTGGTTGTGTTTTTACTTGAAATTTTTTTTATAATTTTTACTAATGGGAATACTCTAGTTATGCAAGATGAAGTTTCATGATCAATATATAGTAACATGACCACTATCAGACTATGGCTGGGCATTTTCGAATATCTGATGATTACAGAATCGATTCGAATATTTTTTTTTCGAATCGAATTTCGGATACTTAATACAACGACTTAATTGCATGTTATATTTTTATTGTAATGGAAGATATAGAACCCAACACTCGGTCAGTCCCGCAGTCACATACAATAGGGAAAATGTTTCATCAATAACTCAATGGGAAGAATAGAGTCATCTGTCAGAATTACATTTCGAAAACATGGCTTCAATAAAAAAATTGAGCAATTCACTAAAATAACAAGATGACGGAGTTTCGAAATTTTCGTCTGAACCGATTCGAATAAATTAATATTCGATTAGACTCAAATATTCAATTCAAAATGCCCATCCCTTATAACCAGGTTGTTATAAGTATTTTGTTGGAACAAAATTTGGAATTGAAAAACTTGTAAAAAAATTATTGATGCCCAGAGTGTAATGAACAGTGCAACCCCAAACAAAGTAGATTCCAATTTATAATAGTTTCTTACCCGGTTATCTGCTTGTGCAAAGCCTTGTTTGTAGCATAAACAATAATATATCATATAAAAAATAATGACTGTTTATTCGTTCTAGGAAAAAGCTAGAAAATGGCAACAATTGCAATCAAAACGTTACGCAGAGAAAAGAAAGTTTGGATTTGTCGACCCACAAAAGGAAGACATGCCACCAGAACATGTCAGGAAAATTGTGAAGGATCATGGAGATATGACAAACAGGAAATTTCGCCATGATAAAAGAGTTTATTTGGGGTAAAAATATTTGTTTTTATACTGATGGTTTTAATATATAAGTTGCCAGTCAGTGTTAATTGAAAGTGAATGTTTCTTTCTTTATTTTTTAAGTTTTCGTCTTGTAATTATAAAATTCAATTTATGTTTGTTGCACTGGAATGTACTCGATACCTGATATGTAAAAATACTTTGTTTTGAAAATTACCGTATTTGAAATACTGCATTCTTTAATTTTTGCCATCTCTGATTCAGAATATAACTTTTTGATGGTTCCAGCGTATTATATTCTCATAGTCTTAAGAATTCAGTTTCTTATTAAATAACTTATACATTTTCTGAAAATTTTTTTCTTATCAATCTAGGGCTCTGAAGTACATGCCTCATGCTGTTCTAAAACTACTTGAGAACATGCCAATGCCTTGGGAACAGATTCGGGATGTTTCCGTCATTTATCACATCACTGGAGCTATTACTTTTGTCAATGAGATTCCATGGGTCATTGAGCCAGCTTATATCGCTCAATGGGGGTAAGATTCTGAGATGAAAATTAAATAAGTTTATTTAGTGGAAATTGTTATATTATTACAGAAAAAAACTTATTTATAGAGGAAAATGCATTAGGTATCTCAAATATTAGTTTATTTTAAAATAAGCAATAGATATTTTGTTATTACCGGGTATACTTTATGCAGTAGTTATTAAATTAGTAATTGTTGTCAATATTAGCGTTGTACTGTGCCTCCCTCCAAAAGGAAAAAAAACGGAACCCAGCTGATAGGGAACATATTCTCGAGAGGCCATAACTTTTTTGAAAAGCTTTCCAGATTACTAAAACTTTTGGGTACAATCATACTCCGAACTTAGGTGCTGAATAAATATTCTTCATTTTCGTAGGATTTGTTAAAAAAATTTATGACTTCTATTTTTTGGGCCAATCTATATGTGTGTGAAAATTACTGATGCCTAAATAATTACTTGATTATTATTTTTTTCATTGAAACCTATTCTTTTTACCAGTAATAATAAGTGTGATCAGCTGTGTAGTTATCGGTTTCAATAACTTTATGGATTGAAACATTTGGATTGCCTCAATGTTAAATGTATTTTAGACTTTAGACAGTTTGAATGAAGTAAGCTTATCAAGCAAGCAAAATAAGTGGTGCTTTGCTCGAATATAAACATTTTTCAAGCTTCATATAAATTTTGCATTTAGACTGGTCATAGTAATAAAAAATATTGTCGGGTTACACAGCGGTTCCCAAACTTTTTGTTCGTGTGGCGGCAACTTATCAGGGAAAAAACTCACGGCGCACTTACATGTGAAAAAAGAAAGTGCTTTAAAATAAAACTCAATTTTGTGATTGTCAATATTCAATCATATTTTAGTTATGTTTGATATAATTCTTTTAATTTGCACCTATTGGGAACCACTGTGGTAACACATAATCAGTGTATTATACCGTCTAACTATTTTTCTGTATCTTCTAGTTCAATGTGGATTATGATGCGTCGCGAAAAACGTGATCGTCGTCATTTCAAGAGGATGAGATTCCCTCCTTTTGATGATGAGGAACCTCCTCTTGATTACGCAGATAACGTGCTGGATGTTGATCCTCTTGAAGCTATCCAGCTTGAACTGGATCCGGAAGAAGATTCCTCTGTTTCTGAGTGGTTTTATGATAACAAACCATTGCAGGATGAACCCAAGTAAGGATATTTATATAGTAGAATTTCTTTTACCTAAAACTGAAGTATTTTTTCCAATTTAGAGATGTCTGTATACGAATATCTTGATACTCTGAAATTCAGTCTTACAAACAAATTTTATGAGGGAAATCATGATAATTTAATCGACAATGATAATGATACCACGAAAAATGACCAGTGCTGTAAAAGTGACTACTGATTTAGGAGGAGATACTAATGTTGGAAGCACCTAACACTTTCTTGTTTAGTAGTATCGACCCAATTTATACCAACCTTGCTATACGATTGCCCTACTGTCTAAGAATTCAGTCGAAATGAAAATTTACATTTTCTTTTTCTTCCAGATATGTGAATGGAACTTCTTATCGGAAATGGCATCTGTCTCTTCCTATCATGTCTACATTGTATCGTCTTGCAAATCAACTTCTCACTGATCTCGTCGATGACAACTATTTTTATTTGTTTGATTTGAAAGCTTTTTTTACATCAAAAGCTCTCAATCAGGCTATTCCTGGAGGACCAAAGTTTGAACCGCTGGTCAGAGATTCAAATTTGCAGTAAGTATAAGTCTCACTTGACATGCAAGTACTGAAATAGTGTCAAAATCAGAAAACGAGAAGTCTTATCGATCGAAAGTTAGGGGATCCCCCAAAACAGCGCTCTTACTCCCAGTGACACCTTGTGTCCCATCACTAATTAATTAATACTCACTAATTATACGACATAATTCATCCAAAATCAATAGGCTACTGGTCCGACATATGATGAATGCACATGCAAAAGCAGATTCAATCTCGCTTTAGTGAGATATCGCGTGCATCTAACAGACAGACAAATACCTATCAACATACTTACCGATTAAAATCGATAAGTAATGACAACTGTTATTCCTGATGTTATTTCTTCTTAGATTTTCAATGTCACCCCTACCAAGAATTTTTTTTTTTATAAACTCTATTTCAAACAGCGTAACTTTGACCATTCATGATTTATGGCCAACGAACTGACTTCCTGACCATATTGATTTGAACTGAATTAGATAGTGGTTCAACAACAGCCAAATGACCCTGCAAAAAAGGTGTATAATACTATTTCCTGCATATGCGAAAAAAAATTGATTCTCGATGAAATATCGCTAAATAATTGCTTTAAAAATAGAAATTAACATTTTCTTCTGTGAGTCATATTTTCAAAATTGCAATAGTCAGACAAAATTAATTAAAGCTGTTTCAGCTCTGTTGTCAGTTATTACTTATCGATGTAATCGGTGAGTATGTTGATAGGTATTTGTCTGTCTGTCTGTCTGTTAGATGCACGCGATATCTCACGAAAGCGAGATTGAATCTGCTCCAGATTCTGCATGTCCGGTCATCATATCTCGGACCAGCCTATTGATTGTGGATGAATTATGTCGTATAATTAGCAAGTTATTAATTAATTAGTGATAGGACACAAGGTGTCACTATGGAGTAAGAGCGCTGTTTTGGGGGATCCCCTAACTTTCGATCGATAAGTCTTCGGTTTCCGACCGATATTCTCGTTTACATTGTTCATGCAATTTGAATTACAAAAAGCTGGGCTTTCTGGTTTCCCATTAAGTCTTGAATATTAAGTTTGTTTATAACTAATAATTTATAAACAAATATTTACGATAAATATTTTTATTTTTTAGGGATGAAGATTGGAATGAATTTAATGACATCAACAAGATCATCATCAGACAACAGATAAGAACAGAATACAAGATTGCTTTCCCATACTTGTACAACAATCTACCAAAATTTGTTCATCTAGCATGGTAAGATCTTGAATTATCTCCAGGAAGGGGGAAGGCTACGAGCAGGGCATATCATGTGATGAACTGTTTGTCCACCAGTTTGGTGGAAATGAAATTCACATTCCTGATGCATGGACTCGGTTGGTGGTGGAAAATGTAACAAACCGGCGACCAAGGGAACCCTTACATTGATAATTTTGGTAGAAGCAGTTACCATTATCTTGATCGCAATTGCTGCTAATATGTTTCATATACAATTTTGAATAACTTGCTTTTTTGACAGAAGGTTTATTTGGATTTGATTGGTAAATGAGCAAGGACTTACGACATATTTTCTGATGAAATTGTTGAGTCAGTCAGTAACTGCAATCATAGAATTTAAAATTGAGATGGAACTGACAGTTCGCGTATCCGCAAATTAGGCTGGCCTAATTAAGTGTTGTAAGTGGTTGGGCGGCAGTGCAAAGTAAATATCTTAGGCCCACCAGTTTGTCTAGGGCAGGGGTTCTCAACCTGGGGTTCGCGAACCCCCAGGGGTTCATGAGAAGATTTCCAAGGGTACTTGGAAGGCAGTCAAGTTTTTGTGTGTTGTTGTTTTTAATATCCTTTATTACTACCAGGGGTAAAAGGGTGTCAATTGAAACGTAGATTTTCACTGATCTTGCGTTATTATGATTGTGAAGCAAAAATGTGGAATTCACGGCTTTGCAGGCAAACTGAAATCTCTGAGACAGTGTGCAACGAGCATTGGAGAAAGTGATTTTACTTATTAAAACTTGGAAAGATTTTAAGAATTCACTAGTTAGGCAGACAACGAGGGCAATATTATCAGCGCGAAGATTTAATTTAGTTACATATGGTCAATAAATCAATAAATTGTTGTTGCAACAAATTGTTATTCAATATATCACAACTTTGTTCGATGCCTGATTACGGGGGTTGGCGTTGCTTGCTTCGTGACTCGGGGGGCGGGTCTATGGGTACTTGAGAGAAAAAAGGTTGAGAACCCTTGGTCTAGGGTGTAATTAAGTTAGGTGGGGAATACTAAATTGGAAAGATTCCGGCTCTGAAGATAGTAGCTCCTTACACATCAGTGACAGCTTTTACTGCACTTTGTTCCGAGTAAAGGTGTAAGCTATCTATTAATATTTGTGTTTCAGGTACCACACTCCCAATGTTGTCTTCATCAAAACTGAGGATCCAGATCTTCCAGCATTTTATTTTGATCCGTTGATCAATCCAATATCACATCGAAGTAATATTAAAACATCTGAAGCCGTTATGGAAGAAGATATTGAAGCGTTTGAACTTCCAGAATATGTTCAACCATTATTGCAAGAAAATCCGTTATATACAGACAACACGGCTAATGGCATCGCCCTTCTTTGGGCTCCGAGACCGTTCAATCTGAGATCATCAAGAACGAGGAGAGCTGTGGACGTGCCTTTGGTCAAAACATGGTAAAAATTATTTACATGTTACTTTTTTATATAAAGATTTCAATATATTAGTACCTATCTACAAAGTGACCTATAAAAAACACAGCCCAGGTCATTTGTAACATATTCTAGGAAGAATAGAACTTTAGTGCAATTTTTTTGAAGTACTGAATCTTTTGGGTACAATCACGCAGAAACAGAAGTTCAAGTGTTGAATGATTTTTTTAATTTTCGTAAACGTAATTATGGGGGCTCTGTTTTTGGGTTACCCTGTATGTAAGGAATGTATTTTTCAAGTTGTATTCTTTGATGAGTTAAAGTGATAATGATTTATTAGCTCATGACATATATTATTTTTAACATTGGAAAATTTCAAATTGGAACACTAATTCAATTATATGAACTAATGAAAAAGCGCCTTTTTGAATATTGTTCAAATCAATTTTGCTCCAAACTAAATTTGCCCCTCAAAATGCGGAATTTAAAAGTAATATATATAGGTTTGTCATTCTGTTTCATCAATATTTTTATGTATATTCCCACAACCATGTAGAAGTTCTAAATTTTGCTACTTTTAATTTTTTTTCATCTTCACTATATCAGGTACAGAGAACATTGCCCAGCTGGTCAACCAGTAAAAGTAAGAGTTTCTTATCAGAAGTTGTTGAAATGTTATGTACTGAATGCTCTGAAACATCGGCCACCTAAACCACAGAAAAAGAGGTGAAATTTTATTTAAATTGATTTTTATTTTCTTTTGCTATGTGCAGAATAGGGAATTGTCAAAATAGGATAATTTAATATTCTAATACATTCCGGAAAAGATATTTTCAGATCAAATATGTTGTAGGCTATACATTTTATTCCAAAACCTGCAGAAATTATTGCGCATTCTTAATGATTAAACTTGTTTTTTTCAGATACTTGTTTCGCTCGTTCAAAGCAACAAAATTTTTCCAATCAACGAAACTTGATTGGGTAGAAGTTGGATTACAGGTTGCAAGACAAGTACGTGATTGATTTAATTTAAATTTGATCCAATTTCTATGAATTTTTTGAAAGTGAGTTATGATTGGAACATGATTTTCATAGTTGAGCGAAGCTGAGGACAGCATATAGGACTGCATACTCAAATGGAAAACTGCGCCCTCTTGTCCAGTTAGCAATGCATGTAGGGTATTAGAACAATTAACGAGTTACTCATTTTTAATGTCTGACTTGGTTATGGCAACGCATCAAGGATAGAACGAGAATATCGGTCAGAGACCGAAGACTTATCGATTGAAACTGCTGTTTCGATTCGTGACTCTATAGTGACACCACGTGTCCCATCACTAATTAATCAATAACTCGCTAAGTATACGACATAATTCATCCAAAATCAATAGACTTCTGGTACGAGATATGATGAATGCACATGCAAAATTTGAAGCAGATTCAACCACGTCTTCGTGAGATATCTCGTGCATCTAACAGACAAGCAGACAAATACCTACAATCAACATACTTACCGATCTAAAGATCGATAAGTAATAAATAATAAACGCTTAGTACAAAAAAATGTACATAATAATAAATTTTTTGCATGGTGATTTGTTCAATCTAGGCCAATAACATATAGAAAAGTCTTATAATCTTTCCGTCATGACATTGCCTACTCAATTTAGGACACCCTTGATGTGGGGATGGGCATAGCATTTCATACTGAGATTTTTATTCTGCAATGAAAACATAGTTAAATCCAACGCTTTGATTTAATAACTCACTGAGTTATTTGTCTTCTAACCAGGGTTACAACATGTTGAATCTTCTTATTCATCGAAAGAATCTTAACTATCTTCATCTGGATTATAATTTCAACTTGAAACCGGTAAAAACATTGACAACCAAGGAACGTAAGAAGTCCCGTTTTGGAAACGCTTTCCATTTGTGCAGAGAAGTGTTGCGTCTCACTAAACTATTTGTTGACAGTCATGTGCAATTCAGACTGGGAAATGTGGATTCCTTTCAGGTGATTATTATGAATCTAGAATTTTTTTTTCTGAATTTTAAATAGATTGTGAGGAAGCCTTCAGGATTCAGATTTATTAATTTTTCTTGCATGTAATCTTCTGTAATAACTTTTCTCCGTTATTGTTGAATTCTCCAATAACAAAATATTCGACTTTCTCACATTTTTTGGTGTTTTTGAATAATTGTTAATGGGGGATCTGTGATGAGCTCAATTGCATATCAGAGGCTCCACAAAAAAAAAAAGTTTAAAAAGCACTGTTCTGACTGGGCCAATGTATCAGAACTTTATGCTTGCCAATATTGCTATAATACTAGTTGCAATAGTTTATATCAGGGGTGCACAACTCAAATGAGAATACGTGCCAAATTTTTCAAAATAATCTTGTCGCGTGCCACGCACAATTGTGGTATTGAAAATTAACTCCCGTAAAACAAACAAATTGCAATAACAATACATAATAACGAATATCTATTTATTGAAACAATTCAATGTCCTGAAAAAAAAACTGCTGATTTTGATATAAACGTGATATTTTATTGTATATCATAATTTTTTTTTTACAAAACCGTTCGCGTGCCACGTTTGAGCGTATGGCGTGCCAAATTTGGCACGCGTGCCCCGTGTTGTGCACCCCTGGTTTATATCAATTTTACTCATTTTCACTATTAATTTTGTTCATATCAGAATCCATATAATTTTGTCTTTTTATCCAGCTTGCCGATCAATTTTAAATATCTCAGTTTTACTGTTTTAGTGTTTTCTGTATTGTTTATTTTGTCAATATCATATTGGAAAATCATTTAACCAACCCTCTTTTTCCAGCTTGCGGATGGATTACAATACGTATTTGCTCATGTTGGACAATTAACAGGAATGTACAGATACAAATATAAACTGATGAGACAAATCAGAATGTGCAAAGATCTGAAGCATGTCATCTATTATCGATTCAATACTGTAAGTTACTGTACTATTCTTACTAATCTATAAACTATTCTTACTTTGTTTTTGTCTAGTGTAAGCTTTTGATTGGTCTTGCTCGCCACATCGGCCAAGAAGTGCCAGTTTGTTTAATTGCATAGTGGTACCCAGCATGTTAAGTTTTCATATGTCACACTATCTACAGCTAGGGTAAAAACTCGGTGAGGCGATGAAGTCTTGCTTTTAATCTCGGGTATGGAGTCTGGGTCGAATTTCTTGTCAATTATGAGCATTTTTATTTCTTAATGGCTCTGATTTGGATGAGATGACTGTTCCTGCTGCTTATTTAATCAACCTCTTTTTTTCAACGAAGCTCCCCTGTTTGTTCTTTGTACATTTACTATATTCAATCACCCAAAATATATATTCTGATTTCTCCTTTAAATATAGTCTGATTCTTAACTAAATTTTGATTCTTTCTCTACAGTTTTTACATAGTATATTCGTTAATTTTAGCCACCCCTGTTTCAGGAAGTTTTATCCAATCAGAGAATAACATAAATCTTCAACCTAACGTAAAATACTTAGGCTAACTACCAACTGATCCCTGTGTGCTCATTTATATGTCCTAACCTACTCCACATATTTAAGGGTCCAGTTGGGAAAGGTCCAGGATGTGGTTTCTGGGCCCCTGGTTGGAGAGTTTGGATTTTCTTCTTGAGAGGAATCACTCCGTTACTTGAAAGATGGCTCGGTAATCTCTTGGCAAGACAGTTCGAAGGAAGACATTCAAAGGTCAGTATTTGAATCATTTTTGAAAATCGAATAGAATTTGTTGCAATTTTTTTTTTGAGATTATAGATTGTTGCACAATACAGTGACATATGAGATCTGAATGACCTTTTGTGACTCGACTGGACTTGCGATTCAGGGTTTAGAGACTTGTATCCAATCCTGCTATATACAGCTATTAGGGGTACCATGTCCTAGTGATTAGGTCGTTGGACGTAACTGTGCTGTGTCGAAGATATCAAAAAAAGGTAACCCCTCACTCATCAGTGGTATGAAGATACTTTCTAAAAAAGTTACTTCACTTTGAGATTGCCCATTGGAAATTCAAATAAATCACAATTTATTCCATTGAGTTGGATATGCCAAATGGACAAAATTCTCGTCCCAATAGGAGCGCTATTCATAGGATAGGTCTATAAAGTTTTGTGTGCATACACTGCATAGTGTATGTTTTTGACTTTACAGTCATTTTTTACTATTAAGAGCACCAATTTTTAACAATTGTTCTTTATGACATTTTCAGGGAGTTGCCAAAACAGTCACTAAGCAGAGAGTTGAATCCCATTTTGATCTGGAATTGCGAGCTTCAGTCATGCACGACATTATTGACATGATGCCGGAAGGAATAAAGCAAAATAAAGCCAGAACGATTCTGCAACATCTTAGTGAAGCTTGGAGGTGCTGGAAAGCAAACATTCCATGGAAGGTAATACTTGAATAGTGGCTAAATATCAGATTCTGACCAGGCGATGTGGTGCATCTTACTGAGTGTTAAGAAAGCGCCCGCCACCATTCCGTTGCTTACTCTCGTGGGCTCGCATCTTCGCAGGTTCGAATCCGATGCGGTGTTAATTTTGTGCGAGATATTGCTGGACTTCTTTCCGGCATAGGGTGGATCACATGAACACTTGTCAGTTACGTCTTCCTCCACCCTTTAAAAACAAATAACTTGCTAACTAATTCCACAGCCGACATGGACTGGTAACCATATGGAGGTCGTGGTTCACATATGATTAAGTCGTCTTATCCCCTTTCCTCTATCTGGGAATAATTCTTTTCCTAAGGTTCAAGATATGTGATCGTGGAAATTACAGCACCATGGTATATCTCTTGTCTAGAGCCGTGTTAGTAGCAAATGCTTAAATCATCTCATAAAAATTTATCCAACATCTTTATTCACTTTAGGTTCCTGGCCTTCCAACACCAATTGAGAACATGATTCTCCGATACGTGAAAGCGAAAGCTGATTGGTGGACAAATACGGCTCATTACAATCGTGAACGAATCAGACGTGGAGCTACTGTCGATAAAACTGTTTGTAAAAAGAACTTGGGAAGATTGACAAGATTGTATCTTAAAGCTGAGCAAGAAAGGCAGCATAACTATTTGAAGGTGAGAAATAATTTCAATTATTTTATTCGATCAGACACAAAGACATTCAAAGGGATTGAATTTTTGAATATATTTTTTGTTATTTATATCAATTCACAGGGGTGTCTCAAAAATATTGTGTGCCGCTTATCCAAGTTGTATGAATTCCACTGCATATGGTTACTCTCCCTTCTGCCAAAAGCATTATAAATATCCTAATGAAGAACATAGCATGAATTCCACTTAAGCTTGTTTTAACGTTTTTTATCATTGCCAGGCCGCATCATAGCATGAATTCATATGCTTACTATATCTATCCTAACCCATAACATATCATGAATCCCATTTCATATGCTTACTTTAACCATTCGCCCAATAATATATATCTACACTCATATCCAACTCAAAACATAAGGAAATGCAAGACAAGTGGGAATGGTGCGAGATAGGTGGCAAATAGTGGAACAATTGGGACACGTTACGATCTATAGTTTAATGGTTGCACATTATGGCAAGCAGTGGGAATGCCCTGCCATTTTATATTCATGTATTTTCACACTTCTTGAAATTGAAGCTAAAGTTGGCAAAATGTTAGACTACTTAGTTTATTATTGCAACTCTCTCTCACTCCAGGATGGGCCGTACATTACTGCTGAAGAAGCTGTTGCAGTTTACACAACAACAGTGCATTGGTTGGAAAGCAGACGTTTCTCTCCGATTCCTTTTCCACCTCTCAGTTATAAACACGACACCAAGTTGCTTATTCTGGCTTTGGAGAGATTAAAGGAAGCTTACAGGTAAGTCTAGATCTAGTTTTCAGATTATTCTGATAATCCACTGTTCTGAAAAAAAATTTTTGACTCTGTAACTTTGCAAGTATTTTCTAAATTAAGTCGCATTCAACAGAGAAATTGGGTACTTCTATAGTGTGCGTACCAGGTTATTGATTAGGCCATAATTTTATTCCGATTTTCTTTATTTTGGTTTTATTACGAGTTGGGGACTGTCTGTGTTAACCAAGTGAATATACCCCCTGCCCATAGGTTTCAGTACCTTTACACGACTAGGTAAAATAGGCGAACAAAATTAGTTACCTCCATATTGGTACACACTTCTGGAGTGCCTTACATAACTAGTTTAAAATTTTAAATATGAATTTATATAAAAATTACGAAGAACATAACTTGATTAGATTTCTTGTGGTCTATATTTTACAGTTATTAAAGAGCCACTTTTTGTTGTTCACCTTCTCAAACAATTTGTTTCGCATTATTATAAGTGCAAAATGTGGCGCAGATGTAAACTTTATTTTAAAAAAATTAAATGTTTACATTTATCAATGTGGTGGCAATGGCGGGTATTTTTCCTTGAAATGTTGATGTCAAAAATTGAACATTTTGTTTATAAATAACTTTTTTGACTTAAAGTGGAGTATTGAGTTAAATATCTGCAATTGGGTAATATTAAAAAACGAGTTCAACAATTATGAAAAATACTTTTTTTGAAATTTAAAATTTTTGTTTCAATATTGACAATATTAATTTACCTTCCAGTGTCAAAAGTCGTCTGAATCAATCCCAACGTGAGGAACTTGGATTGATTGAGCAAGCTTATGATAACCCTCACGAAGCTTTATCGAGGATTAAGCGTCATTTACTCACTCAGAGAGCTTTCAAAGAGGTTTGTGTTTTCTATGATAAGTGAATACATATTTAAAGATTATTCGGGGCTCCCGAAGTATGCGAACCAAGATGGCGGACATCGGAATGTAATATGTGTACTAGGTTAGGGTTAGGCCATAATTTTAGGTATAAATACTACGGGAGGCTCTTGGCTAGTCTTCGAACTGATAATAGGACTAAAATAAGGAAAATTGGAACAAAATTATCGCCTAACCCTAACCTGTTACCCATGTTACGTTCCGATGTCCGCCATCTTGGTTCGCATACTTCGGGAGCCCCGATTATTCTTTGGGAAGAAACATTAATTCCAATTAATGTTGAACTGGTACTGTTATCAGTTAACTTATGATACTTACATTTTTATTTATAAGCGTTATGTGACGGTACATGAGGGCCTGATAGTTGTGTGTGTTAGACTTAACTTGGTTGTCCTTGGAATTTAAATATCTCAAATTTAGTTTTATGCCTCAGCTATTTTTCTAGAGCCTTGTTTTGGGTGAAGGTGTTTGAAACACCTTATAACTTTGGCGTTTAAAAGATGATATTGTGGCCGAATGGCTAAATACTTTTAAAATAAGCCTTGTACAAAACAAGTTTTATATACCATAACTAGTATTCAATACTGTCAATTACTGTATTCATAATTCTCTATTTTTTCATTCAGTGCGGAATCGAATTTATGGATCTCTACAGCCATCTAGTGCCAGTATATGATGTTGAACCACTGGAGAAAATCACTGATGCATATCTCGACCAATATCTTTGGTATGAATCGGACAAGAGACGTTTGTTTCCACCTTGGATCAAGCCTGCTGATACTGAACCACCTCCTCTGCTTACTTATAAATGGTGCCAAGGTAACAATTTTTGAATTTTGGCCTATTTATAATTTATGCAGACTCTACTGTCGGAACATTGTTTTATGCGATAGGAACATGCTTGCCACCCTACCTCTGATTACCACGCTTTGTCCGCAGATTAGTATCCTGTGGGAAGCACTATTTGAGATCGTAGAGTAGTTCACATAATCCATAGTTCGTAAAGTCTCCACCAAGTGTGGCAACCTAAAATAACTAGACATTGAATTTTTTCCTCATTTGACATCGACCAGTAATCAAACAGGAGGCATAGGTTTGCCATATTATTGAGCCATTATTTCGGTCCACTCTGCCCTGGAATAATTAAATTGTAGCCTATTTAGCACATCATTATAGGATAGGATGAAAATTATTTTTCAAATTTTTGTTATTTAATTTTCAAACTTATTGAAAAGCACAGAATTAGTTTGACACACAAAAGATTTGTCTTGACTCACTCATTGCTCCCGTGTACAAAGATTTACAATTATTAGATTTACTAGTGTCGCATTGTAGTCGTTTAATTAGTTTGTTTGTATTTTTTCAAGGCATCAACAATCTTCAAGATGTCTGGGAGACGGCAGAAGGTGAATGTGATGTCATGATGGAAACTAGATTTGAAAAATTATATGAAAAGATTGATTTGACTTTGCTTAACAGGTACAATATGGTATTTCTTTTTATTGAATAAATTGTGAATTGTGATTGATTCAATATCTGTAATTGAAATATACAATATGGAGTGAGAGTTATCCTGTAATTGTGAGAACTTGTTTTTGTTACAAATCTGAATGTCAATGTGTGCTGTTTTGGACAAGTACCGAAACGTTTGGCTTTCAAGTCCTATCAAGTTTGTATGTCAAAGTACAGGGAAGTTTAGATTTTAGACCATATTATTGCGGGGGAAAGGGGTGTAGATGTTGTTTTATGTAGAAGTTTAAAGTATATCAATTCTAAGTGTCTGCACGTGTTGTTTTGGACAAATACTAAGAATGTTTTTAAACCATATTATGTCTGAGTGTTTGTATGGGATGTCGTGGACAAAAAATTTTTTTTTTATGGCATATTATGTCAGAGGGTCAATATGTGATGTTTTGTACAAATAATAAAAATTTTTTAAGCCCTATTATGTCTGAGTGTCTGCATATCATGTTTTGAAATATAGCAAACGCTAACAAGTTTTATCCTTAAATAAATAAAGGCTGCATGTCTGAATGTCTGCATGTAATGTTCTGGACAAACAACTGTGTAATTAACCCATTTTCCAGGCTTCTTCGTCTGATAGTCGATCACAACATTGCTGATTACATGACGGCAAAGAACAACATCGTCATTAACTACAAGGACATGAACCACACTAATTCATATGGAATTATTCGAGGACTTCAATTTTCATCTTTCATTGTTCAATATTATGGATTAGTCTTGGATTTACTTGTTCTTGGTTTGCAGGTAGGAAGAAGTCTATTTGTACTTAGCTGGGAGATTTCAGTTCTTTCTGTATAACTTTAACAGCACCGCTACATGTAACAACTACTGCATATTCAGTTGCTTTTTTCAGAGGAATGGCAAAAAAAACTTGGCACAAGTTATATTTACATTGCAAAATCTAAAAGCTCTCATTCAATCAGAAAGTGGTAGCTTTCCTATGTAACAGAGTTTACTTTTCCAAAGCCATTTTAGAGTGAAGGCGTGACAAATGCTTCATAAATTTTTTTTTTCATTTTCCAAGGTTACCCTATTTTTGTATTAAATGAGTGACGTAAGGAAGAATACAGAACAAGGCTGTCTTCGTGGCATCTAAAATGATTTTCAATTTTGACCTTTTTTTATGCCATTTTACAAGAATGTTGCGGCCTTTTCAAAACCATATTAAATGCTCCCAAATATGCAAATTCGAGTCATTGTCAAAACAACTAAAAAATCTTATCAAACAATGGAAATATGCTTTTATCCCATGTTAAACAAATGTTTTGATTAACTTTATTTGGTGTGACAGTAAGTCTCGTGCTATTTACAATCCGATTCCCTTTTTCCAGAGAGCCAGTGAAGTAGCAGGTCCACCACAAATGCCGAATGACTTCCTAACATTCCAAAACATTGCAACTGAGACTGGACATCCGATCAGACTCTACTCAAGATATATTGACAAAATTCATATGTTCTTCAAGTATTAATCTTGATTCCCTTTTTCTGGTGTCATTTTCATTATTGAGCATGAAGTGAACTTTTGGATCTTTACTGAAATTGTAGTTCTGGACGGTATATAATGATGAAGAAAGTTGCTAAAGATATACTTCTGTTATTATTCAAATATTTGTGGATTTTTACCAAAACCTATATTTCGCCCCAAAAGTTTTCTGGATTTTATAATGCATGCAGTAATCTTCATAGAAATAAAAAATGCTCTATTTATGTGTCTTAATTAATATTCAGAAAGAATCACTATTAACAAAGAATTTTAGAGATTCAGGTTGCCATTAGCTGTCAAAGCTTTATCAACATCCAAAGCTAACACAGTGAAGTTTAAGGTTTTAGCCACTTCGCCAAAACATTGAGAAGAAGAGAAGAAGAAAATTGAATTTAACAAAAAATTTTTATCATTTTCAGATTTTCTGCTGAAGAGGCTCGTGATCTTATTCAACGATATTTAACTGAACATCCAGATCCAAACAACGAGAATATTGTTGGTTACAATAACAAGAAATGTTGGCCGAGAGATGCCAGAATGAGACTGATGAAACACGACGTCAATCTGTAAGTAGTAGGAGTATAAGTTTATTTCGACTCCATAATCAGCATAATAGACGATAAAGAAATTGATAAAAACAAATAAATAAAACTGATTACAGAATCCCATAGAGCAAACAAAACCTTAGGTAAAGTTTAACACAAACCAATTTTAGATTCGAAGGTTTGTCTCCTTCATATCCAAATTTCTGAAACTAGAATTTGGAATCTAACTATATTGAATATTTCAAATAGAGATTCAAAGTTAATTGTTCTCGATATTTTGAATTCTTCATTTTAGAATTATGTTTTTTTTTTTATTGAACGAATCAGGCTTTTCAGCATATGTTTTGATTTGTTTAGCACATCATTAGGATTTTTACTTCTATTTATTTGTGTGGCATTTTGTCTATACCATTAGCTGTTGTATGTTCTAATTTTTATCAGTAGTTGAACTCCAGAAAACAATTATTTCATTATTCAATTCAATTCGTTTATTACTCAAGACAGCTGTGGTCCATATAAAAACAACACAACAAATAAACATAAGCAAAACAGAAAAAAACGCAATAAATACATAAAATAACTGATATGACAATCAGATTCACAGTAAGTCTCAAAAAAGAGTTATGATATAGGAATTTAAGAGACCAAAAGTGAGGTATAGAATCTAAGGTAGCCCGTACAAACAGTATCTGGTTATCAGTATATTATTACAAACATTATTTTGTTTTTCTGTCAATTGTCAAAATTTGTCAATTTTTCTCTTTTCCAGGGGTCGAGCTGTCTTTTGGGATATCAAGAATCGTCTACCTAGATCTGTTACCACAGTAACATGGGATAGTTCATTTGTTTCAGTTTACAGCAAAGATAATCCAAATCTCCTGTTTAACATGTGCGGATTTGAGTGCAGGATTCTGCCAAAATGTAGAACAACTTTTGAGGAATTCACTCATAAGTGAGTAATTGTTTTACTGAAGAATTGAATTCTATCAGGGCATTGCAAATGGGTATAATATAACTAGTTAGTGAAATCTTTAACAAAATTTCGAGTTGGTATTAGCCGTATTTCCCGTAAAGTTCAAAATTTTAAGGATGAGCTTGTTGTCCCAAATTCGAATCCAGCTAAATATAATTATGTGCGAGAGGATTACTGGGCTGGTCAGTTATGGCTTCTTTCCCCATCAAGTCCTTACATTTGAAACGATTATCTGGCTTACTAATCCCATACCCAACATGTACCTTAAGAAAAATTTTGCCTAGGCTCGAATGGCTCATTGTTCCTTGTCTCTCAATAAAATGTTGATATTTTTCCAGGGACGGTGTTTGGAATCTTCAGAATGAAATCACAAAAGAACGAACTGCTCAATGTTTCTTGAGAGTTGACGATGAATCGATGCAAAGATTCCACAACAGAGTCAGACAAATTCTCATGGCTTCTGGTTCAACTACATTTACTAAGGTAAGTGCTGGTTTATCTGAGGTATAGTAAGAGGCAGTGTACAGAGTTTTAACTAGAGGCTGGTCTTATCTTTAAAATCCTCAAAGATGGTTGGGTTCAACATTTCTAGAGTCGTCAGTTTGAACAGAAGTACATTTGAATTTTCATATTGTATATCAGGGCTACTCAACTGGCGAACCGCGGTCCGAATCCGGACCTTTCGAGTACGAGATTCGGACCGCACCCAATTCTTTATTTTAGTCATTAGCCCCACTTTTGAGGTTTTCTTTTATAAAATGACATTTATAGTTTTGAATATATATGAAAAAACTATAACGCCATAATAAGCAATTTTGATTAGCTAATAATCATTAGCCGGACGAGGAAGTGTGCTTTTAAGGATGCCTAAATATAAATTCTGGAAAGACCGGACCCAAATAATTTTGAAGTTTTGTTTGCGGATCTTCGGTAAAAATAGTTGAGTAGCCCTGCTGTAGATTATCCTATGCCAGCTGGCGCAGGGATATCAAGCCACTGTCAATCCTGGTCTTTGACGTAATGAAGGCTATTTACTCTCAGTGCTTGGAATTGCAAGTTTCTATAGAAATATGTTAAAATTGTTGAGTATTGCCAGAATTGCCTGAGCCATTGGGGAGTCCCGTATTCATAATAATTCAAACATCTAATCTGTATAACTTCTTAGATTGTAAACAAATGGAACACTGCTCTCATTGGATTGATGACATACTTCCGTGAATCTGTTGTAAACACTCAAGAACTTCTCGACTTACTCGTCAAATGTGAGAACAAAATTCAGACTCGAATCAAGATCGGTCTCAACTCAAAAATGCCGAGCAGGTTTCCTCCAGTTGTGTTCTACACACCAAAAGAATTGGGAGGTCTCGGAATGTTGTCCATGGGGCATGTATTGATACCACAGTCTGACTTGAGGTGAGGTTTTCTCCGTTTACTCCTTCCTAACATGGGTAATTTGATTCTAAGTTAGAAACAAAAGTTGTTATGCCTTTTTTCATTTTATTCCTAGTTTTCTTGGACTTTTTCCGATCTGTAAAAAAGAATAATGTGCATGAATTTTCAGAAGTGCTCAATGGTTTCATTGGGGATATGCTCCTTTTATTATCTTCTACGACGTGTTGCCAGTATCCATGTAGTAATCTATTTTTCTCACCGACACAAAATTCCATCATGAAAAAAAAATGAATTATTGCTGTCCTCATGGCAAGGGACGTACTTGTGAGACAGTGGGGTTTTTTATGCAACCGATATAAAGATGTTAACAGACTAAATAACTGGCAAAACAATCAATGATAATAACAAAAGTAGCCTTGTGTTAATAGAACGGATTATTAATCACCGTGAATACGAGTGATGTGTTGGGCATGGAGCCCGAAATTTTTAACTTGTTTGGTCCAATACTATCTCATAAGCTCTCAAAGTGTTCCAGACACATACAGTGCACCAGGGCTTCGTGTGAGAAACCTAAAAACCAAAAGTTTGAGAACTCCTGCTCAATATTACATATCTAACTTATACGTTTTGTTCTGCAGATGGTCAAAACAAACTGATGTTGGCATCACCCATTTCCGATCTGGAATGAGCCACGATGAAGATCAGTTGATTCCTAACTTGTACAGGTATATTGTAGTAGGGATGCGACAAGATTCGGACTCGTGCTCGGATTCGTGGCCGAATCTCTCGTAATTTGATACTCGGATTCGGCCCGAGTCTTTGATGATTTTACCCGAGTCCGGGATATCATACGTCACGCGATAGTCAAGCGCAGACTGGTGGTGGATTCGACGAGAAATCCAACTTTTTCGTTCTGTTTTGCCACGAGACTGTCCAGTCTATTTTCTCTACGTGAAATTAAAACGAGGCGGCAAAACTACAAATTCACGACGCCGTGAGAACAAAAAAATGTCAGCGAAAGTCAGCTGAATAAATTCCAGTGTTTTGCGTGTAGCTTGCCTTCCAGTGCCAGACGTCGTTTAGTGAATGTCCTATTTCAAGCATATACTTGCTAATCCTCTAACAGTGATTAATCCGTGATCAGCGGTAACCATGTCGCGCTGTTCGCCTTTTATCGTTCCATAAATGATCTAGCTATTTCCGGAGAGAAACAAATGTTAGAAATAAAACGATAAAATAGTGAAAATTACGGTTCTTTTAAGAGAAAAGTACAACTCGCAGATGTCAGTGGCGTTACAATCGTATATATGTACAAAAACAATCTCGCAAGTCGCATCGATTAAATGTGCATAAATTTGGAAACTATTACTCGTGGTAATTGAATGTTAATCGGGCCGACTTTTTATTTCTATTCAATAATTATTTACATACACCGCGATTAGTGACGGGCAAAATCGAATTTTTCCTGATCGAATAATTCGACTACCGTATTTCTTTTAATTTACCGATAGTAGAAAATTACTAGAAGACTGGAGACTCGATAACAACGCGGCGTCTTTACTTCTTATCCCTAATTTTATCACAATCGTGAATTGTTTTTTTGTCACCGCGGTCGTTTCGGCGACCGACATCCTAATTATGGTTAGTAAACTATATTTTTAAAGCACCCTTTTTCACTATCAGTTCTCACGCAACGCCGGACATCGAAGTTTCGTTTTTATATTTCAGGCAGAAGTGTGAGTACAAATCGGCCAAGATTCACTATTAATTAGTGAATTCATAAATATATTAATTTTATTCTGGCCTCATCTTCTGGACTTGATCTTCCATATCACAGTTTGTAAATTACGGTCCCCATTTTACAATACCTATCGTGGCTGTGTTATTTTAATATTAGATAATAAATGAAAACTCCGGAAATTTACCATTGCGTGCTGTTTCGAGTTATGGCATTTTTACCTAGTCGAAACAATATTTCCATATAATATATAATTTACCTGCCCCACTTAATCTGGTTTGACGTTTCTATATGTGAAAAGGTGTTGGCGCGCTTATGCAAAATTGGGAATTGTTAAGATAACGATAGGCGCAGAAAGAAAACCATAATAATTCTCACATTTATCGTTTCTGTCTGGTAGCTAGAGTCGTATTTGAATTCTTACTCGTAACTCTCATTTCTAAATTAATGTTAATAAATTTGATTTTGCTTTTCAAAGCGCCGTTATTTGTATTAATGGAAATGATTGTGTCATACAGCCGTAACTTAGCATATAACACATTTCGCCTTTTGCGTCTCTCTTATTGAATCAAAATCAACAATTACACATTCTTGTATTCCGCGGATTCGACAATCGCTATTGATGGTTTTCAAACGAATAATAGCTAGCTATTTTGTTACGATATATTTATAAGATACATTTATTCGATGCTTCCACAGTTGGCAATTCTTTATTAGTATCTCAATTATCACGGAGATGGGCGTCTGTATCAGCGCCGACTAAAAAAGATAACATATGAGTAAAAATTTCCCATAAAAAATTTGTTCCAAACGTGTGGGTTATGGCCCGTATTTATCGTGACAGGACACGAGCGCGGCGTCTTCAGCAGTCGACGCGGCGGTCGATCAGAGTTACGTAACAAAGTATTCTTTCGACGGGAAATATGACCTATTTATTCTAATTTAAACTAGTCGCTCAGAGAATGATTGTCTCGAAAGCAATAGTGTTTATGTGCAACGTTTTTAAATTACATAGTCTTTTCATACAGAATGTTTAATTTACGACCAATATACGAGAACAACAGCATCACTTTAGGTATTTGTTTCGTAGCTATGTAAAAGTATTGGACTCGGGACTCGGACACGAGTCCAGCACAAATACTCGGGATTCGGCCGAGCCGAACCTTTTTGGATTCGTCGCATCCCTATATTGTAGTGAAATTTTTTGATTTTTTTCAATAGAAGCTCAACGAAAAAAATTATAAATTTACAATCTGGGAATGATGTTCCACTTTTATTTGGGGCATTGTTGACCTTAGGGAAGCCCTTTTTGCATGAATAAATAAAATTTAAAATTAATAAATAAATTTTTTGTAAAAAAATCTTCCAGCGTTCAAACAATTATGCTATTGTGTTTTCTGTTATATATATTTTTTTTGAATGAAATGTTAGTCATGTTATAATTACATATTGTTTGTGGCTATTAGGTTTTCCTATGCAGTAGTAGGTTGATAGTTCTTAATACGATAATTTAATAACTCCCAATGTAGTTATGCACATCTCGCTATGGAGCATCTTGTCAATCCAGCACGATTTCACCTCAATATTCGTTTTAGGTACATCATGCCATGAATGAATATTTATATAAGCACATGCATCGCTTTTCATGATATAACTTATCTGACTTGATCAGATGAAACATTACAGAAATATATTTTTTTAGTGCGCAGCAAACACTTGAGTTACTGATATATTATATTTCTCATTGGTTCTAGGTACATCATGCCGTGGGAGAGTGAATTTATTGACTCACAGAGAGTGTGGGCTGAGTACGCACTCAAACGACAAGAAGCAAATGCTCAGAATCGACGTTTAACTCTCGAAGATTTAGAGGACTCGTGGGATCGTGGTATTCCACGTATAAATACTTTGTTTCAGAAAGATCGTCACACGCTTGCATATGACAAAGGATGGAGAGTAAGGACTGATTTCAAGCAATATCAGGTATGGGGGTGACTTTATTATAGATAGCGTATACATTATTGATTTAAGTGCTATTTTTTAACAATTGGTGTCTAATCGTATACAAAATAGAGAATTGAAAAAAAAAAATTCTCAATATTGTATTTAAAAAAAAAATCATGCACATTCAATCGGAAAAACAGAAGACTGGCCTCTGAGCAAAGTTTAAGTTTGGTTCACTTTTTGCCAAATGCACCAGAAAGTACATTATGCAGCGATAAATGCCGTTTGTTTCATGAATTGAAGCAGTTTTAGCTAGTCAATAGACAATATCAAATTATCTTTTATCTTTTAATTATCTTATCCTTAAATGTCAATAAGATAGTTTGTAATTTCATACTTTATTACTTATAGCGGAAACCTTGAATAAATCTCTACCTATTTCAGGTCTTGAAGCAAAATCCTTTCTGGTGGACTCATCAACGTCACGACGGAAAATTGTGGAATTTAAATAATTATCGAACCGATATGATTCAGGCACTTGGGGGTGTAGAGGGAATTCTAGAACATACTTTGTTCAGAGGTAAAGTATGATAAGTGTTTATTGGTATAAATTAATGTTTTATTGAACACAAACAATACTTAACATAAACAGATCAGTTGTCACCACAAATAACAGAATATAAAGTTAGACATAAGACACATGTTGCCTCTGCTACGCCAAAGTACTGAATGACCTCTGGAGACCAGCATGGCAGTATTTATACCCAGGAAGCATGCTTCAGTGGTTTTACCCACAATGCTCTACCATCATGCTGTGCTGTCATTGGTCAGTTAAAGAGTGAGAATAGAATTAAAGTACAGTCTCAGGATGACCTGGATAAAATGTAAATGAGAACACACAAGTTAACAATAAGTAGCACAAGTGTTCTACCAGAGCATAGTGGATTATTGATGTTTACTTTTCATTTACTGTTTTATTTAATGTGATCCCCAATGTGGAATATGCAATAAATGAAGAATACCATATGACTGGGAGTGAATTCCCACATTTTGGACACAAAGTTGACATATGGGTCGTTTCCTAAATTGTTTTTGACAATTCACTGTGACAATGCTCAATGACAAAGCAATGCTCCGGCACATGGGTGTCTCCCTTGGGATTCAAACCTACAAACCCAGCTAATTTAATCAGAGGCATGATAGCAGGGATGTTCAGAACATTTAGCACAGTCCACCACCAATTGTAAAAGTATTCCACATTTGTTCGGACTTGTGTTTTGTAATATCCGCGGATTTAGCCTTGTTTGGCCCAATTTTATTTAATTTCAAGTAATAAAGATGTATATGATTTTGCTGTTCATAAATATCCAGGATTTTGGCTTATCATGAAAGTAGGAATTTTATTGGTAAAAACGTCATTTATTCATGTTAGTGGGACCTTCTACTCGAAGAAGTAATTCGATTCATATACACAATGTTGCAACTTTTACAGTCAGTAACTTTGAACTCTTCTGTTCACTACAGGAACATATTTCCCAACATGGGAAGGTTTGTTTTGGGAGAAAGCAAGTGGATTTGAAGAATCCATGAAATATAAGAAACTAACAAACGCTCAGAGATCTGGTTTGAATCAAATTCCCAACAGACGATTCACTTTATGGTGGTCGCCTACGATTAACCGTGCCAATGTAAGTCGAGTATTTGTGCTGAAAAAATGGCCCCTGAAGTAGAGCCAGTCTCGAATCATCTGAACCGGCAATTCTTGTCTCCAGGTTGCCAGCAATCTCCGCTAAATTTGACAATTTGAAAACAAACATGACTAGTAAAACCGACATTTGCGAGACTTTTTATGTTCTGCTTGAAAAATTTTGATTCCAAAAAAATCTAAATTACTTATCCTGATCTTGGTTTTAAACATCAGAATTCCAAAATTTGTCTTAACTTTGAAATTTAAGAATGCGATTCCAAACACTACAATTGGGGTAGAAAAATTTTATAATTAAATTCCCATATGATGATCATAATGTACAAGACCGTGGAGTTAATTCAACTTTAACTCTAGTCATCACGAAAATAACCAATTTTTCACTTCGACCCAGAGCATTTCTAAGGTCATTTCTTAATCAAAACACAGCAATTTGTTACACAACAAAAATTCACTTTTCAGGTTTATGTTGGTTTCCAAGTCCAGTTGGATTTGACAGGAATCTTCATGCATGGAAAGATCCCAACATTAAAGATCTCTCTCATCCAAATCTTCAGAGCTCACTTGTGGCAGAAAGTACATGAGAGCGTTGTGATGGACTTGTGTCAGGTATCATGTTGTTGCAAATTTAGCTCATATTTTAATTTTCAAATAATTCCAGATAGATTTTGTTTCGAGGTTTTATGTAAATTTAAATTATGCGAGAGACGACTTTTATTTGCCTTTTCTACTCATCATTTTGGATTGTTGATGCAGATCTCGGGCATTGATATTCGCCACAGGATTTGTGTCAGATGCAATGTCAAGTCTTCAAGCATGCGGCTCCAAAACCAATTTGTCTATGGTGATTTGTCAATTTGAATTAGTTTTTGCTCAATCACCGCTTGGTGAGAGCCTTGTTTTGAGAAAAATTAAGACGTCATGCTATGTCAAACTTGAAGTGGTGACATAGTTACTTCTGTTGCAGAGCAGCCGTGTTCACGTTGAATTTTAATAATAAATCTCTATTTTTCTCAGGTTTTTGATCAAGAACTTGATGCCCTTGAAATTGAGACAGTGCAGAAAGAAACAATCCATCCCAGGAAATCATACAAAATGAACAGTTCTTGTGCTGATATTCTGTTATTTGCTGCTTACAAGTGGAATGTTTCTAAACCTTCACTTCTGGCCGATTCTAAGTAAGTTGTCTAAATTAAGATCATGTGCATTATGGGGTTGTGGGACAAACTGACTTTAACAGGGTGACTCCCCCGCCAAGTATGCACAATAATATGTTATCTCTGGCTAGAATATGTTCCTAATGATGGAAACATATTAGAGTTAGAGAGAACATACTATTGTGCAAATTTTCCTAGGTTACCGAAACTTCTGAGTACAATCATACACAAGCAAACGTTCAAGTGATAAATTAATTTTCTTCAGTTTCGTTGAAGTAATTATAAAATTGATAGTTCTGGTTTCTTCGGTCACCCTGTGAACCCTTTTTATGCTTTTTCTAATCATATATTGAATGCTATGTTTTACTTATCATAAACAGAGACATGATGGACAGTACTTCCACACAGAAGTACTGGTTGGATATCCAGCTACGTTGGGGAGATTATGACAGTCATGATGTTGAGCGTTACGCTCGTGCTAAATTCCTCGACTATACGACAGATAACATGAGTATTTATCCATCTCCTACTGGACTTCTGATCGCAATTGACTTGGCGTACAATCTACATAGTGCTTATGGAAACTGGTTCCCAGGTTTGTTTGCTATTTGAGTACTATTTTTATAGTTTGCTATTTTTACAGTAATCTAGCGTTAAACTTGAGCCTGTTTTTAGTCAGATTTATAAAGTAAACGAGTACCCGGTTCATTCTGGGCAACACTATTTTAGTGTTTGGTGTATTACTTTCTTTTTCTTTCATTTCACTCATAGTCGTCATCTGTTAGATATACTTGTATCTGTATCAACCATATCACTCTTGGGAATTCAGGTTGCAAGCCACTCATTCAACAAGCGATGGGTAAGATCATGAAAGCCAATCCAGCATTGTACGTACTTCGTGAACGAATTCGTAAAGGTTTGCAACTGTATTCCAGTGAACCTACAGAACCTTACTTATCGTCACAAAACTACGGAGAATTGTTCAGCAATCAGATTATCTGGTTCGTTGATGACACCAATGTATACAGAGTCACTATTCATAAGGTTGGTTACGATTCCTCCTTTTTGAGTCTCCACACAAGGCTCCACACAGCAATTTAATTAAACATAGGAGGCAAATAGGTTTAGAAAGATACGATCCTCTTGAATTTGTTTAGCTTATCTATAAGGCAGTCACACCCAAAAATAAATGCCTATTGCCTATTCTGCACTTTAGAAAAATTGACATGGATAAAATTTGATTTTGAATTTATTAGAAAAAGATTTATTTGAAGAATGAAATTAATGGTATTTTGGCCCAATTTGCTGCCATCACTAAATAAACGAATCATGATTTAATTTGTGTTGCCAAACAGCTACTTTGATAATAAGAAGTATAAGAGATATAGCAAAGTTGCTTCATATTTGTCTCCGGTGTTTTTTTGAGTGCTTATTCCATCTTTTATGTTATTCTAGTAAAGTTTTAAACAAAGTTTGCTATAATTATTAAGCCCTGGTAAAAGTACTAGGTTAGGAGGTACGAATGAGTGTTTTTTTTAAGTACTTCCAAATTGTGTTGTTCGAGCAAATGTCACTTTTTTTTTATTCATTTCCTCATATTTTCTTATAATGTGTAATATTTTAGTTGTTCAGAGTTTTATTTATTATTCTCTCTCAGACATTTGAAGGAAACTTGACAACCAAACCAATCAATGGAGCCATCTTTATATTCAATCCAAGGACCGGTCAGTTGTTCTTGAAGATTATCCACACTTCTGTGTGGGCAGGACAGAAACGTCTGGGACAGCTGGCAAAATGGAAAACTGGTCAGTATAAAGAATTTTTACAGAAGTTTAATCGAAATCAAACTTAAAATAAGTTTTGTTGAAAAATGTACTTTCGCTTGTACACAGTCTGTTTGATGTAAATATTTGTGAATATATTATAAAAAATAATCACTGTTTTAAATATGTCTTTTGCCTGTAATGATGCTTTGGACAAATAGACATTGTTAGGTAGCCTATGCCACACTATGTTTTGGATGATCCTAAGCTTGTGACGCTGATCTAACCATTGAATAAGTCACATGACAGATATCCCAGATGTGATGGAATGTGGGCCAATAGAAAAATTATTCAGTCTTTCAAAGTCTGATTATGCATTGGTGCTTATTTAGAGATTTATGCAGAGTGAATGCTCAAAACAGCTATGAAATGTTTTCTCAAAGAATCCTACTTTCGTTAACAGCTGAAGAAGTTGCGGCTTTGATCCGATCTCTTCCTGTTGAAGAACAACCGAAACAAATCATTGTCACAAGGAAAGGAATGTTGGATCCGTTGGAAGTCCATTTACTTGATTTCCCAAATATTGTCATCAAAGGAAGCGAACTACAGTTGCCTTTCCAAGCTTGCTTGAAGGTGGGTGTATTAAAGTATTAGAAATTGTATTTCCATTATTTGGTAATCTCCGGTGATTTTTATTGTCTTTGTAAGTAAATGAAGTTGTGTGGCAGTGTGGCAGAATCTAGCATGTTGTTATTGCAATCCTCATTTCAAACTCCTTGAAATGGAGAGTTTATGAGTCGAAATTTCGAAGTCAAAATCTATGATAGAAACTCAAAGGGCATCAAATTGTTTAAGATTATAAATTCCATTCAACCTTTATTCACAAACATTTTCCTGATCCTACAACCCTTACCACTTGAGTGAGAAGTCATTCTACACCTGTGGCGACAGTGGGTCGAACATTTCCACCCGCAGACACGAGATAATGCTTGACAGCTTGGTCATTTAGAGGCATTTTTGACATCAAATCAATTAATTTTTTCATGTTTCAGGTTGAAAAACTTGGAGATTTGATTCTGAAAGCAACAGAACCTCAGATGGTTTTATTCAATCTTTACGATGATTGGTTGAAGACTATTTCATCATATACTGTGAGTATTATAACAACCAAAAAATAAATTAAACTTAAAAAAAAGTGGCTTACAGATTTTTTCTATCAATTATTTGAAATTCTTTCCCAACTAGACTTCTGGGACATAGCCATCTTGGTATCACATAGAGGTGTATGGTCCGATCCCTCGTTGATCTGATCGTTAACACTTCTCGGAAGCCTGCTGTCCTATCTAGTATAGACAATAAGATTTCAAATATTTCAAGTTTAGTACTAGTAGTTTACCAAACCATGTATAAATGCTTGTTTAGAGCCTTTTTTAGGCATAAAATATAACAAGTGTTTAGAAAATTCTTCTTTCTGAAATTTTGTCTGGATTATTCTATCCAGACGAATTTCAACAACCCTAACCTTCATTAAAAAGGGTTTTTTAGTTCATTCTTTGTCTAATGCCATATTTTTTTAGATTGTCCCATATATTTCTCTGTGTGGAATTATTTGGACACTGTTATAAATCTTAAAAACGAACATACATTTATGCAAACTTTGCAACTGCTTATAATTGAGCACAAAATATTCAAATAATTTTTACTTTTATTTTGCAGGCGTTCTCTCGTTTAATCCTGATTCTACGAGCTCTCCATGTTAATCCTGATCGAACCAAAGTTATTCTGAAACCCGACAAAACAACGATCACAGAACCTCATCACATGTGGCCCTCTCTCGGATTCGACGAATGGATCAAAGTAGAAGTTGCTCTGAAAGATCTGATCTTGGCTGATTACGGGAAGAAAAACAAGTGTGTTTCATAATAAATATGTATAATTAGTAGATGTCGATAACCCCAGAAACACACCCAACAGAAATGAGCCAGCCTGGGGGTCATACTAGGCCCACAACATTCGGGAAAGTCCTGTTGCATTTGTTTCTCTTTGGCAAATACCCAGTAGCTGATTACAATTTATAGTTACTGTCGAATACGAGGAATGGTCGATGATTAGTACGTGTTTGAAATTGGACATGCAAAGTATCCTTCAAACATTGCCTGGTAAAGCGAAGCAAGCTACTCGCAGCACTGGATTTTTATTCAATGACGTTTCACTGTTAACAGCACACAATTTTAGTTGGTCAAACGTCTCACAGCGCCATGTCCGCCATACACCTTTGTTGGGCTGTTTTACTCCCAGCGTAACCTCCCTGTAACAAAAATACTGGCTACGTCCCTGTTATGATCAGTCACTTGTAACTGATGACATCACTGATCAAATTCAGCTATCAGCATATGGTTTATATGCTTATTTTTTCAAACTATCAAGGAATAGTATTGCAATGGAATTTCAAAATTGAACACTTCATACCAATTTTAATTCTGCGTATAACTTTCTGTACTCTCCTAAATTTCAGCTAGTGTTTCAACTTTTTTATACTCATTTTTCTAGTGTAAATGTGGCATCCCTCACCCAGTCTGAGATACGTGATATTATTCTTGGTATGGAGATCAGTGCTCCATCGCAACAACGACAACAGATTGCAGAAATTGAGAAACAAACTAAAGAACAATCACAGTTGACTGCTACTCAGGTAAAGAAGCTTTAAAAATTATGTTCTTAGCTATTTGACTATATTTATAAAATCTTTAAATAAAAAGGCTGTATGTACAGAAACAAATGTATAGTCAACTATGGTAAACGATAAAATCCACCTTATCGGTCTAGGTCATATTTTCGTGTATGTGCTTAATTATCTTCACACAAATTGAAATCTGCGAAACCGCATGAGGTAATCATATGTGTGAAGGCAAGTGTGTTCCTACCATTTAGCACAATGCATCAACTGCTACTGCTGCCAAGATGTGTGTGTGCTTACTCTGTGTATGTGTACATGTACGCCTATGTATGTGCTATACATATTTTGGCGCTCATGCGGTGTGTGTACCAATATGGAAGTAACTAATTTTGTTCGCCTACTGTACATCAAGTTGTGTGAAGGGGCTGAAACCTATGGACAGGCGGTATGGTATATTCATTCGGCTAACACAGTTAGTCCCCGAAATCGTAATAGAACTAAAATATGGAAAATCGGAATAAAATTATTGCCTAACCCTAACATGGTACACATACTACGGGAGTACCCATATTTCCTGTTTTTGTCCTCAAGCTGTCATTATAATCCTTCACCAACATTTTTCCAGACTCGTACTGTCAACAAACATGGAGATGAAATCATCACTTCGACAACATCGAACTATGAGACACAAACATTCTCTTCCAAAACTGAGTGGAGAGTTCGTGCTATTTCTGCAACTAATCTACATCTCAGAACAAACCATATCTACGTGTCATCTGATGACATCAGAGAAACAGGATTCACATATATTCTGCCAAAAAATATTCTGAAAAAGTTCATCTGCATTTCTGATCTACGAGCACAGGTTTGTTGTGGTGTGTTCAAGACAAGGTTCTCGCACAATCAAGAATATTTTACAGAAAGAAATTGTTTTAGTTTCACACTTTTGGGTTGAAACATTTGATGTAACCACTAATATAGGTTGTCAGTTTTTTAAATTTTTTATACGACATTTTGTGCCCTTCATTCTATAGAAGGTTCTGTACAAGCAGCCTTAGATTTATAGAAAATTACTATTGACCAACTGGAATTGTTCGAGTTCGGATCGCCACCCTACTCAGGGTGTACTAAATGCTGAACAAAACAGATTCCTCCAAAATATGGTATCCCATTTCATATCAGCAGTTACTCAAACAGCTTTCATTAGGATAAAAGGTTTATAAAATATCGCATAAGAAATCACTAAGTTATGTTATCCACATATATATATCAGACAAATTCATAGAGAATTTTCTTTGAAAGTTTTTTCAAATATTCCATTCTGCTTTTAAATAAACATCTTTGAATTTTTTCTGTGTGTCTAAGTTTGAATTATCTGTTTTCTTCTAGATATCTGGATATCTTTTCGGCATAAGTCCAGCAGATAATCCCCAAGTGAAAGAGATCAGATGCATTGTCATGGTACCACAGTGGGGAACTCACCAAACTGTTCATTTGCCAAACCAACTCCCACAACATGAATATTTGAGGTATGACTTCAGAATGTTTGAATTCAGAAACTTCTTTATATGTATTTTATTCGGTCGACTAATATAATGGTGTCTCAAACCAGGGGTCTACAATCGGTACCGCTGAAGTGTGTATACCAGGTTAGGGTTAGGCGATAATTTTATTCCGATTTTCCTTATTTTAGTTCGATTACTAGTTTGGGAACTGTCTGTGTTAGCCAAGTGAATATATCCCCAACCCATAGGTTTCAGTCTCTTCACTCAACTTGATATAATGTAGGCGAACAAAATTAGTTACTTCCATATTGGTACACACACTTCTGGAGCGCCCTTCAAACTGCATTGCTTGATTTGTCGAACCAGTGTTGCGCTTATGAACTGCAGATATCATTTACAAAGTCCCAATTTGATTTTAACGCTTTGGCCGTCACACTGAAACAACCTCATCCTCCGAATTAGTTTCTTTCTAAGCTACGAGATTATTTTTTTTTTCATGGAGAGTTTTCACACTCGAAACAAGGCTCCTCTCTGAGTGTTTTTATACTCAGAACGATACTCTCGTAGTATGTGTACCTGGGCAAATACCCTCATATATTTTATTTTATTAGGTCATAAGTTTATTTTACGTTATGTCACGAGTGAGGTATAGTCCATGAGTTATTAGTATTATTAAGCTGTTATTACTCTTTTCTTACATTCCCCTTTCTTTAGTTTAATAATTTCACCATTCCCACGGGCATCGGTTTTTTACATAATATAACAGCGACAACAACAATCTTTAAACAACGAATATTTCAAAACAATTGACCCAATAGTTCAGGAAATTTTTTTTCACAACCACTAGCTAAGAAAGAAGAATTCTAATAACAATATGAGGTACTCCCGAGGTGTGTGAACCAAATGGCGGGCACCGGAACGTAGTAGTCCAGGACTAGCCAAATGACTTCTGTAGTATTTGTACCTGAAGTTACAGCCTAACCTGGTTCACATACCACGATAGTACCCATATTGGTACATATCCTACACTTCTGCAGTGCCCTCAGAACTTTGTAATATGAGATCACTCACTCAATCTAATTTCTATTTACAGGGAACTTGAACCTTTAGGATGGGTTCACACTCAACCTAACGAATCTCCTCAACTTTCACCACAAGATGTGACAACTCACGCTAAAATCATGGCTGACAATGTTACTTGGGACGGTGAAAAGACAATCATCATTACTTGCAGGTACTTGCATTACTGGGTTGGTGCTTGATTCTTGTAAAATTATAACTGTTCTTAAATATTTTTTGCCTTTGTATATGTTTGTTATTTAGCAAGGTAGGCACTTCTAAATTGTTTGATTCTTGACAAAAAGTGGATGCAATATTGTTAGGAAAAGTTGTGTTAGAAGAATACAGCTGATGCACCACCATTGAACTGAACTGTATATAGTGTCAGTAGCATTTGGCATTTCATTTCTTGGTTGCTTACAACTTTGCTCAGATGTAAATGTGCTTCACTTCAACGGTGAAAGTAAATCACCTTGGTGGTTTGTGCTAATTCTCAAAAAATGCAGATTTTTGAAATCAATATCAAACCTGACCATTGATCTTATTTATATTCAAACCCAATTATTATGAACATAATTTTGGGGTAGATAATCAATTGAAATAGCATTGAAAATATTCATTTTCCATTTATTCTCAGTTTCACTCCTGGATCATGCTCTCTCACTGCCTATAAGCTGACACCTAGTGGTTACGAATGGGGAAGACAAAATACTGATAAAGGAAACAATCCGAAAGGGTATCTTCCATCTCATTATGAAAGAGTTCAAATGCTTCTATCTGATAGATTCCTCGGATTTTTCATGGTTCCTGCACAATCGTCATGGAATTATAACTTCATGGGTGAGTGCATTATTATTTATTTTTTATGCTGTCTTTTTGTTTGTTTATTTTGTCAGAATATGAGACTGAAAAATGAACTTTGAGCAAATGATTTAGTTATCAGTTTTAGTGAAGTCACAACATGGATGTTTAAATATGAATACATGCAATTTGGTTATCTACATGTTAAACTAATTACTAAAGTCAAATTTGATGTGAATAAACTTTTTGCAAAAAAGGACAAATTTTTTTAAAAAACAGTATTTTGACTTATATGATCCTGAAAATGAATCTTACTAACAATTTGAAATTACGTTTTATCTGATTTCCACGAATATTTCCATGGACACGTGGTGTCTGCGGTGCCATTACTCATACTTTAATACTATTCTGTCTTATCGATTTTCCTCTCCTTTGGAATTAATATTGAAATCCAATCCTTTGATATGGCAAATTTTAACCAACAAAACAACCAAAAATCTCATTGGTTTCTCAAATACAATTCTTCAGAAATCAATCTTTATAATTTTGTTATAATTTTTCTAAATGACAGTGCAGATTTCCATACAAAACAACCGTTTTTCCACAAATATGCAGCCTGTGGTGTAGTTCTGTCTGTTATACAACAACGGTCTTATTTATTCAACGCAATTTTGATCGGATTAAGCGATATATTGTCGCTGTATGAGGTTTTGGTTATATTTCTAGCCTTCAGGCCTTATTTCTAAGCTGTATTAAGTGTGTAGTGTCTTGTTACTAAATTTCTGAAAACGTGAAATATAAATATGTAATCGCTAAAAGATGAAATGTTTATTATATAAATAAGCTATGTTGTCTATAAGCTATTGTGTCAAAATAATCTGTGGTCGGGCGTGCTACGAATGCGCCAATTTTAACTGAATGTTCAATAATGTGGTAATTGCGACACGTCACTGACCTTAGGTTGATCGTAATCATAATAAAATAAATTTTAACAAAATGGATGCATATTAATTAATTTGTGAACAAACTAGTCAATTTTGAAGACAATGCTTTCTGATAATTATTATATTATATTAGGGGCCAAAGCCAAAAATTTGTAGCGTACCATCTATGTATTAATTTTCCCAGTTCGAAATAGCTTTAAAAATAATCTGATGTCAATCTTTGCTTCAATCAATGCTATTTTAATCTCATTAACTATCAATCTTAAACATTGGGGTTTATGTTAGTTATTTGTCAATATTTTATTATTTTCAAATCTTTTGATTAGTGATTGTGGAATTTTTTTTTTATTGAATGTGAAAAATAGGCTAAAATGATTCAATGGTAGACGGTAGTTTCTATAATATTAATTAAATATAAAAAAAAATTGTATAATCGATCTTAATTAATGTGATTCGAAGATTTGTTTGGCATCTCTGCTCACCACTCAAACTAGAGTGAAAGAAATTGGTAGAATATGCTTGATCAAGTAGATTTTGGTCTTAGAAAACAAAGTATCTTCCATTCTTCCGACATTAATGATCTTGGTTACAGACAAAACCGTAACCACCGACAATACCTGTTCAGCGAAACTACAACCATCAACTTTTAATTAGATATTCAAACCGTGTAGTGCCGCTTCTTAATAACAGTTTTTTGTTTCCCGCAGCTTTCCTTCCCAAATATAACAGTTTGATTATCTTATTTGTCTTTGATTTTTTTACTGGTTTGAAAAATGAACTTCACTTATTCTGTTCAAAAATTGAATCAAGGAGTTATTCATCAACAGTATATATAGTATAGGTATAAAAACAAATCTTTTTTTTTCATTTCTATAAATTTGTGTTTTTCAGGTGTACGTCACGATCCCAACATGAAGTACGAACTACAACTTGCAAATCCCAAGGAATTTTACCACGAGATTCACAGGCCATCGCATTTCCTTAACTTTGCTTCTGCGGAAGAGGGCGGATGGTCCGCAATGATGGCTGATAGAGAAAATATGTACGAATGAATATTTGAGTTAAAAGCTCTCAAAGTCTGCATTGGTAATACTGTTTGTGAAAAAACTTTGATAATTTTTTTTACAATTTTTCAATTTGAGACTAAGCTGCTGAAATGTATGTTTTGTGTTCCCAAATGTTAAAACTACAAACCATTCCCTAATTATGTATATACACTTAAAAGGTTGATTGATATTTCAAAATTTTTTTGTGGTGTACATTTTTTTAAGGAAAGTTCAAAATTATGGTAACAAAACGTAAGTATACGCGTTTCTACATAGATCCCATTATGAGTTTTTTCACCATCATAATTCTTGACAATGTTCTATTTGAATATCAATCAATCAAATCTTCTATTATAGGCAGGGATAACCAGAAACGAATAATTTTCATTTAAATACATCCCTGATAAAACTCGACCAAACAATCATGTATTCAAAATAATACTGTACATTTGCAGTAAAATATCCGGCTTTCACTCCTTATAAGGCTGGTGAAATTTGAAACGACAATACTGTTGATTTATGGCATTATGAATGCCGTAGTTAGTATTCCAACTTATTTTTCCCAATCATTTAAAAGCAACATCATACTTAATTACCAAAACTAAGTGGACACACTGAACATGGTTATTAAACATCAAACCGAAGTTTCCAGTATTTAGGTTAGATTCATATGGACAGGAATTTCAGTTACACCAGCATTATTGATATTATCAGTAATATGTACATTGTATTGTGCAATGTACCTGTTATTTGCTTGGAATACTTTCGTGTTCCAACAATTTGTTTCCTTGTCCATCGAAATGCAGTTTTGCCCATTTCTGTTCAAATTGTGTTCAAGAGAACATATGAAATTTTTATCAATCTCTCAATTGTATGGACGAATTTTGCAAAATGTTCTGGTGCCAAGTCATCAAATTGTGTAGTTTTTTGTACATATTGTGTGGAATAAACGAGCACAAAATAAAATTCCTTTGCGGAAAGTAAACAGGCTTAGTCGTATTCACATCAATATTAGGATTGTGTTACATAGTGAAGTGTTTATTGATACATGTGCTAATCAGGAAAGTTTAAATAGATCATGGGTTAGGACACCTTGGAGATAATCGTGTTGTTGTTGCCGATATTAACCATTGGGTTATATGACACTATTGTGACTTACTAGAAACCTATAAAATGCCCATCTCTAACACCCTCTACTTTGCGTACCGAACTACTCGCTAGAATCTCGGCGTTTCTCAAACAATATGCCTAGTGTGCCGCAAGAGATTCTAAGTTGTGCCGCGACGTTTTTTTTTGAAATTTAGAAAATAAGCTATTTGTATTGCACCTAGGCGTGCATGCAACAGACAAGCTTGTGAGACTTTGGTATCCAGTATTAGGCTGGTAATATTATTTGCCTCATCGTTGTATTAAGGGTAATTGTCACGTTATAATTGTATTGTTATGTCATAATGTATTTGTGAACAAGACGTCCACCTTCCACCACGCTGACTTGCGCGCTTTAGAGTCCAGTGCGCCGCAATCTTTTTTAACTTGTGGCACACTTATAAAACTTGCCAAATTTGACGGCACACCACAACAAACAAAAAATACGAGGTGTAAATTTGTTTTATGTTTATATAAGCACAATCGCTCTATATTAGGATCATTACGTGACGCGCAATCAGTTTTGCAACACGATAACTAGCTTCTAATGCTTTTTCGGAGACTGTAAAAGACGACGTCACAGAGCACTCTTGCTCCTTATTTTGACTTAACAACCGCTGGAAATAATTTATATTCTTGCGTGCATGAACGGCATGTTTCGTATTTAAGTGGCGCATAAGTTTACTCGGAAACATTGCTTCATTTGAAAGTTGCTCCCCCCAAATAACCCAGACTGGTTTTGGAGCATCTTCGTTACCACAGCAAGAAAATCCATATTTGACGTAATCTTCCCTGTATTTCCTTTTGACAAGTTTTTTTTTTCAACGTTGCTTGTGCTAGGTACGATATGTTGCTCAGTTTAAAAATTTATGCATTTTGCTAAACTTTAACATCCTTTGACTTTTTAATCAAAGACCACTGGGCACTGATTCTGCAAACTCACACTTTATTTATATTCGATTACTACACGTGCTATGTTTTAGCCTCGACAATAGGTTTCACAATATACATGCTTGTCATATAGGCCTACTCCTTGTTACGTCACAAATGCACAGTGGGGGTGTCAGGAATTTGAATTGGTGTCGCTCAAGCTAACGTAAAAGCAGGTTAACTAGCAGGTAGAGTAGAGTGGAGACTAACGCAAAAATAACAAAAGATAAAAAATAATTTGTAAAAAGAAGAGAAAAGGTGCAATTCCTGTGCGGCACACCTGGCATCGTCTCGCGGCACACCGGTTGCGGAGCACTGAATTAGACTAACAGGAAAGTAAGTTTTGGCTATCTGCTCACGAATTCTATTCAACGGTGAAAAATCCATCAAAATAGTCTAGCCATTTGCATCATCTTGGCCTTGTGAACACGAATTTTCTGCTATGACTGAAATTTAAAACAAAACAGGCGCACACATCGCATTAACATATGCAGAATAATTTGTTTAAAGTTAACTTTATTTTTTACAAGTGTGCCGCAAATTTTTTTTATTTGCTCAGTGCGCCGCGAGCAAAAAAGTTGGAGAACCACTGCGCTCGATTCTTATCTCGCATGAAAGCCGATAATCCCACTGATCCTCATTCCCGATAAATATAGAAACTAGTTTTAAATTTGAAATCATTTATTTACACAAAATTTTTGTGTTATATATAAAAAATGGAAGTGCAGTAGCTTTAGTTACACTTGCAAATATTTTGGCAAATAAATAAAAATTAAGGTAAATATCAGAAATGAGATAGAGCTCGAAAGCTGGACCTGAAACATTCAGTTTTGATAATATAAACCCCGAAAAATGGCAGATGGCGTACACATATATACATGCAAGCTCCGAAGATGCGGAAAATGTACCTGATTTTGAAATTTTATATGTCGAGGTTTAGGTTTTGTGACCATTGTTGGTGTCGTGAAAATGAGGAAGCAACACTTGCACTCGCCGCTGATACGAATTGTTTGGTCGGTGACGTAAATAGGATATGACAGCCATTCCCGCCATTTGGATTGTGGGCGTGAATTTTCAATCGTGGAATGTTTCAATAAAATGATTTCAACATGGAATTAATTTAAAGTTGCATTCTTTATTCGAATGATAACGCACAAGTTTCCGAATTCATTGACGACCGTTGAAAATTGTCAGTCAATAATCACCAGGGACGCATTTTTAAAATTTACCATGGGCACCATTTTGACTAGATACGCCACTGTGTTTAGTGATATGATACCAATCTGGTTGCGTTTACAAAATCAATATATTATGTCACATATATTATATATAACGTGTTGTGAACTCTAAAACAATATGAACATTACATGCATCGGTAAACGTTTACTGTGATCCTTCAGTGTGAGAAAATCGGTGTCTCTGAAATGTCATGTCCCACCCGCACCATACATATTTGCAACGCTTTCTCCTCATGTTACGAGTTAGGGATGACTGGAACAAGTGTAGTACGAGGGGGCAAATAGGACAAATGTGTGACAAAATAGAACAAGTGTGCTACGATTGGGACATGTGTGTTACGGGACGACATTACTGAGACAACAACAGCCTCAATCAACAGTCTTTCATGAAACTGGACTTTGCGTAGGCGTAGGAGTGATTTTGACTGGTAGTTTTGGACGAAGTGTTTCGTAATTGCAAGACGACCGTAAACTGACCGACGATCTCCGTTGACAACAATCAATTCACCTTTTTTGTTGATTCGAATGGTTAATACATTCTTGTCACAGTGACGCTATTTTATAGCAAATATTAACATGAATAATCATTTTTTACTGATCATCGTCCTTGACGCAGTATATCAGCCAATGACGTATAAGAGCTAGCCCCACCGGGACGCGATGCCGCAGGCGGAGCCCGCGGTTGAAATAAACTAGTCTCGGGTGTTTCAACGACATCTGGTGTGTATGAGTCGGAACCGGATTCCGGAAAGAAGACTCCCGGATTTTGATTACTACCACCTTGTTGCTGATTTTGATTTGTGTTTCGTGAGTTAGGTCCATCGTTCGTCTGCTCACATCCACAGTTTGAAGATCTCTGTTCAGCGTGTGTAATCAAGCGGCATTCTTCTGCGCAGGGTTGAGAATGTCCGAGTAAGCATTTGTGATAAGTTCCGAACGTGTACAAACGCCCGTCGGCTTCTCCGGGAGCTTTAATCCAAACGTTAGCGTCGTGCACCCGAACCGCTTCGAGACGAATACATTTTCCTCGCATCATTGTTTTTCTTCTGAAAATGGCCAAAGCCTCTTCTTTAGTTCGCAATTGTACTGAGCGAAACGTCGTCTTGGTGGGCGCGGGTTGAATCGCTTTTATCGGTACTCTCCCACTGGGCATCGCTAAATCGTTATACCCGTTCCGCCTGGGGCCTCCGTTGTTATTGTTGTTGTGGTTAGCATTTGAAGGCTGATGGTTGTTTGGCTGTGGCTGAGCTATGCTACCAGGTTGGCCACCAAAGTTGACCATACTATTTTGACTGTGGGCTCCGTTATTACGCATATTGTTTATATACTGGTTATAAGCTTCCGGGTTAGTTCCGGGGTCAGGAGGATTTCCACTTGGCATGCGAATGACTTCAGAGCCAGAACCTGGCGGGTTGGTTTGTTGCTGTTGTTGCGTTGGTCGTACTGGCGAAGCTTCTGGCGTCCAACGCTTTTGTCTTGGTGCAAGCTTGATTCCCCAAGACCAGCCAGGAGGCAAACCCTGTGAATAAAATGGAAAATGTAATGAGTTTAGGATTAAGGTATATAGTTTCAATAGCCTTCAAAGAGAGTTATCTGGCTGTTACATAGAGACCAGGTTAGGACAAGAATGAAAATGTATCCGGAATCGAATTTTATCAGTCTCTGCGATAGAAAAGCATTGTTCCGTTATATCGTTATTTAATTTAAAACATTTTTAAAAATTGTTCACGCTTTTCAATTTTGCCAAATTTTGTAGGATAATCGCGACATTTTATAATTCGTCTCTAAGATTTTCCTTCAAACAATATATAACTTGTCTGAATATAATATAAGGATCGCGAGATGTGAGGTTTCAAAGTTGCATAACTCGTACGGGATGCCAAAGCCGTAAAACCGGCCTTCAGGGTTAGAAGACGTTCTCGGAAAAGCCGGAATGCCGGCTTTTAGGGTTCAAAGAGTCGATTATATTTATTACGATTCAAGGGACAGGTTTCTATATATTATTGTAAGGTTTATCAGCAGCGTTGCCGCACATCGTCACAAGCTCTAACAACTGCATTCCATAAATAACAACTTGACACGGGCATGATCTTACCAATATGCATAAATATTTAGTTTATAAAACAGGTCTGAAATAACTTTGGTTTATAGTGTATTCAAAAAGTGGTTTCTTCGTGCAAACATTGGCAGGTACACACCGGCACTGATGATGATGTACTGTGTATTAAAATAACTTATACAATCTTTTTTGCCGACGATTTCCGAATATCTACTGGGTCGTAACAGAACTTCTATCTTGGTGGCGAGATTTTTTTGTGCATTTATTAATTTGCTATCAGTAGAGGTTGCGCGAGACTAAATTCGTAATCTGCTTGTTTGGGGAAGTCTGATTTTGGTCAGACGACACGTTACAGAAATACATTTGTGTTAGTGTGCAGCAGTAGGCTACTCTTGAATTACATGTTATTAATTTGCAATGGAGTTCGAACAAGGGATGCACTTACATTTACAAATTTGCGCATAATCGTTTGCTAAATCTGCAGACTATACTAACAATGGAATTCAAGTAATTTAAAATTGTATTGCCACACGTTGAATATGTTCAATCTGGCGCTCCAGAAGTGTGTGTATCAATATGAAGGTAACTAATTTTGTTCGCCTACTTTACATCAAGTTGTGTAAAGGAATTGAAATCTATGGCCAGGGGATATTCACTCGGCTGATACAGACAGTCCCCGAACTCCTAGTGGAACTAAAATAAGGAAAATCGGAATAAAATTACGGTCTAGCCTGGTACACATACTACGGGAGTACCGAAAAAAACAGCTCAAGATCGTCTCAAAACACAAGCAATTCATTACGATTACTTCATTTTTTATTTGACTTCGGGTTGCACATTATGTGATTATAAACGCATGTACAAGTATACACGATTTTTTAAACCAGGTCAGATTTATTCAAAACTTTACAATTCAAGTTTATTTAAAATAGGATTTGTATATTTATCCCGAGGAAGAGGAAAGCCGATACCACAGCTTAATCATATGGCGAACCACACGGCTTATCGTCTGGTTGTCAGTCCATAGTTAGCCAGTTGTTGATTTCGGATACATGAACTTCATCTTAGGGAAAATCGTAACGGAACCTACAAAGGTGATAAGCGTACAGCAATCTTCCTGCTAGCACATATTTATACGTCACGCAGTTCGGATTGCACTTTGAACCCGCGCAGGGTAACCAGAAGTGCAATGGCAAACCTGTTTTTCAGGCTTAGCACGACGCGCCAACCAAGAAAACTTAAGACAGTACTGCTTACAACTCAGCAATACTGTATAATAGCAACAGTAATGACTTACCGATAGTACTCTGGGGGGATCAAAGTAACAACTCTCAATACCGCTGATGCCCTGTCGAGAGAAAGGTCCACCGTTCCTGCTCGTGTCAGTGATGTAGTGAAGTCCGGTCAGACAATGGAGACGCCGAGCCATCAGATTATTGTATGATGTGTTGAAAAAATGAGCCGTGTTGATGGAAAATCCTGGAATCAGAAGAATATAAAATGAATTTAAAACGTTCAATTTTCATTTTATTTCGAGTTCGCGGCTTCCAATTTTATTTTTGATAATACCGTACTAGTATTTAGGATTCATGCGTAACCGCCAAGAATCGTTTTGTAGAAAACTACAAAATATGTTTATATATCACCCGTGTGTTTCCGAAAGAAATTAGGGTTGTGTATTGCTTTAAATTTGTGAAATACTAGAACAATAGGCTGCTCGCAATTCCCGTTTTAAATATTCGGTGATAGATTAAGAAGCGAATCTGCTTTGGATTGTTGCTTAGAGTCTCGTTCGCAAGAAATGTGTATAAATACCTAACAATACACATTCCCGCGACCTCTTGTATAATATCATTTCTCTTTAAGAAACGTCCACCGAGAATATCTTCAATAAAGTTTATCGCTTGATTAACAAAATAATTAATAACTATCAGAATCGCTCAAGCGATTGGTACTAATTAATTGGTTTCATTCATTCTCCATTTTTTATGACTTGAACTCGTGTCAACTTCCTGTTTACGTAATAAAAGACTTTTTACGATCGGATGTAAATTAAAATTGTTTGTTTATCTTTGGAGAGTCTTGCGAATATCTGATGAAAGGAAAATGTAATTGATTGCGTATCTCCGGAAACCTTGCTATCGTGCTATACGATAGGTTCTTTGCTATATCATAGGATAGGATTTAATATGATTTACATATTTATCCCGGGGTAGAGGCGACGATAAGACGGCTTAATCATATGGCGAACAACGGCCTCTCGTCCGGTTACCATTCCATGTCGGGTATGGGATTAGTTAGCCAGTATTCGGAATCATGGACTTGGTGCCCTGATGATAAAGTTGTTCTGTATACAAAATTCGGAATGTCGGCAAATTTCATCGCTTTGCTAACACCGGTCACGCTATAATATTTCTTCTCGATATACTTATATTTCTACTACGCTTTTGCTCTGGTGGATCCTTGGCATTTAAATTATAATAAAAGGATGCTGTAGCAACAATGGAGACAAGCTATTCTGAGTGATTCAAGAGTCTTGCTACACACTAACACAAATATATTTCTGTAACGTTTCGTATAGTCAAGGTCAGACTTCCCCGCCTGATATAATTTCAGTTCATAACTCATCTATGGTTGTCTGGGAAAGTCTAACCTTGGACGAAACTTTACAGAAATAAATTTTTATAAGTGGGCAGTAGGATTTTCACCCAGGTTATCTAATGATATCACGACTTGACATCATAATGGGAAAAGGGACGATTGAATCACCTAGAAACGTGAAACTGTCGTTTTTCAATTTGTTTGTTTTTCACAATGGACAAGATAGCATAGAGCCGTGGATTAAATTAAACATATAAATTCATTTAATTTATAAAAATTTTACTATTTTTATACTAGTATTTCATAGTGAATTTTTATTTTCACATTCAGATCCGAATCGCAGAACTGCAAAAAAAGTAAGCGTAAAAATAGAAAATGTCGTGTATTATCTGAAATTTTAATCTCAGTGTAAACTCGTTTGTGCCTTTGCGATAGAAATCAAAGTTTACATATCAAATATTGAAACGAGTTATTCCAGTTACACAAAGGTATATATTTCAGGGAACAAAATGCGCTTTGTTGATAATTAGGATAAATTTACATAATTTGAGACGGGGTTTAGATATTTTGAAGCCACCGATCTCGATTACCGCGATATCTTATATAATCGTATTTTCGTTACCAAGTCCGCAGAACTTTATAGTTATTTTGGGGATATTTTTATACGACTGTCCACGGATGGCAGATTAACAGAGGAACAAACATTCAGGACTTGGGAGAGCGCGAATGATTTTCAGATAATATTACAAATAAAATTTTTATATATTTTGGTATTTATTCGATTTTATAAAATCAATAAAATTTGGAAAAAAGTCCGCAGAACTTCATAGTAATTTTAAAGATATTTTTATACTTTTTTATACAGTTCTCCACGAAAGGCCTATTATTGATGGAATATTCAGGGACTGGTAGGACGTCAATAAATTCAAATGCTTCCGAAAATGAAGTCAAAATTCCCATGCATTTCGCTATTTATTTGGTTTTATAAAAATCAATAAAATTTGGAAAAACAACATCGACCAATTTAAACAATGACATCATAACGCTTGCCGCAATCAATTCAAGAACATCTCTCCAAATAATAAAATTCTAAGTACTACTTTCGTTCTCATGTTAAGTACACCAGATACCACATAAGTATTTTCCACTTCTTTACCTCTAAGGCCATCAAGACGCAGTAGAGACTTTGCCATATGTTCCATGTTTTCTCGTGTCTTGAGATAAGCCGCGTTTCCAGCATCGACGTACACCCAAGATCTTGACATCACTCTGTCAAAATTCGATACAAAATTGAGCTAAAACGTTTTAAATTTCGAATCTTTGATACTCTAAGTTGGTTTTACATTTCTATAAAAACGTACCGCGGTTGAATTTGTAAATTTAGCATTAAATTGATACTTAACGTGAGGATTATATTCTGAGAAAAACACCGATACGCGGAATATGATCTTTGTTTACTCTGATTTCAAATAATTACACGGTAATTAACGTTACTCGAGTGGAATATATCGAGTTCACACTTATCATTTACGTAAAAACGATCCTCTCAATTTCAAAAGAATCAACTTTCTTGCACTGCTTTTTTGGCGCTCCAGAAGTGTGTGTACCAATATGGAGGTAACTAATTTTTTTCGCCTACTTTATAGCAAGTTGTGTAAAGGGACTGAAACCTGTGGGCAGGAGGATATTCACTTGGAAAACACAGACAGTCTCCGAACGCGTAATATAACTGAAATAAGGAAATTCGGAATATAATTATGGCCTAACCGTAACCTGGTACACACGCTACGGGAGTATCGTTTTTTTTTAAAGTTTTTTAAATCTAATTCGGTTATACAATTGCACGCCGATATGAATAAAATAAGGTTTCGGCTTTGTACATGAAAGGAGACGTCAAAAAGACGGCTAAATTCAATAGCGAACCACAACTTTCACTTCCATCGGATATGAAAAAAATAATTAATTTCTGCTTTTATCGGTTTGGGTAATTTCCAACAAAATTTAAGACCTTTTCACACTTTTTTCAATCGATGATAATAAGGGAATTACATTCACAAATATATAGGATGTCTATAACGTCTTAGAAATGCAAAGGGAATTTATCGATACCATCTATTGTTTTGTCCCTCACAGAAGTATTAAATGAAGTAAAAATAGCCTACCTGAACGATTACCGGTTAAAAAAAAAAAACTAGTTAAGCTATATATATTGAGAACTGACTTCATAACAGAATTGAAATTGTAAAGGAAATTTACGGACATCCGTTACAATGAGTACAACGTCACAGATTCAAAACATTCGTAACGTTTATATTCTGTACAATGATGATATTGTATTATATTCGCCAAAAGTCGCTTACTGGTAAAATATATTCTGTAAGCCGATATTGAATTATAAATAGCAACCTAAATATAGGTTGTCGTGTAGTATTTTTCGGTTACAAAATCAAACTTTCATTTTCATAAATATGAATATCATAATCTCTTTCCACAAAATAGTAAGTTTATTTATGAGTTTTCGTTAGATCATAGTCTAACACTTTTCAGATAAAACCAGATATGGCTTAATAAACAGCCATAATCATTTTTAATTTAATAGTTGTCGGGGAATAAAACAAAAAAATTATTGACACTGTTTTCTCTCGTGCTTATGTGAACATGTATTTAACAAAGCGTAATTGTTATTTGAAGTACACAAACACTTTTAATAAGAATAATAACATGCTTCTAACTTATAATCATCGGATTCATCGAAATCCGAGCTTATTAAAATGCGACAACTCTCAAAATGAATGTTTATTTAAGAATTAATTAAAATTAGTCGCGACAGAGTTACAGATATTCAGCGATAAATATTTATCGCAAGTGTAGCGTTATAATTAAAGGCAATTACGAGCTTCATCTGCGTTTAATGACTAATAACTGTTGCAATGTTATCACATTTTAACGACAGATTCGTAGTTTTCTGTAACGTATATTAGTCTAAAGCTTGGACGCTCTTTTGTGGAAAACCTTACGGCATGGAATTATTTGAAGTAAGATGCGCTGAAGTTGGTGAAATGGATTGGCAACATATATATGAACTGGTATTCAAGAGAAAATCCCAAGTCTGGCCAATATTTTTTTTGCAAATCATCCCGTCACCGAAAGTGTTCCATAAAGTAACATTTGCGTAGATAAAGCTAGATAACAACGGCCTGAATCTAAACGAAGAAAATCAATTTGTTATTTTAATAATTGATTAACTTGGTGAAATTAATAAAACTTACTTTATAACTCTCTGTGCCCGTTGGTAGAATTCCTCCTTATATTTATCATTCAGCCATCCATATTGTAGGTTATGTGTATCATAAGAAAACATGAGAAGATCAGGTTCAAGAATTACGATAGATGGAATCGACACAAGGTGTTTCAAATAACTGTTTAGTTTTTTATCGTAATCAGTCCACGTCTCAATCAACGATTTTGGTTGATAATGATTCCACACTTGGATATTTCTGGACAAACTTAAACCTTTACTTGGACGCATTTTTATCACGATTACGGGAATTTTCGCTTGGCATGCTTCGGCTCTTATCATTGATATCGCCTCCCTGTCAGCGAAATTATCGCCCGTCAGCCAATACGAATTTTTCTGGTAGGTATCCGACGTTTCATGATGTGTGACTACGCGAGTCGCGATCGTGTTGACCCCAAGAGTCGTTTGATACATGGAAGGGTGATTGTAAGCCCCCAGTTTCGGTTCCGTGCCGTTTATGATTGACTCGCACATCATTTCTGCTTTATCGACTGAAATCGCTCCTTTCGTTTCTTCAATCAGGATTTCATCTTCTTCCGTTTCTGATTTGTTTCCTTCTGTCGCCCCTTCGTGTCCCTGTGTCTGAATCACAACAAATATCACAGCCCCGACAATGATTGCGACAATAACACATAACGCGAACACGAAACATTTCTTTGACATCGCCATATTGACGGATCAATTTAGACTGGATTGGATTATTCAACGACCTGCTAACAAGAAATAAGATATATAAAGTGTACGTTAATTCAATATACATCTGTACCCCGTGATGGAATTCAAAATTTTAAGAACACTGTTCTTTTGTATCAAACTCACTATCAACAGATTTCCTTATTCAAAAAAAAATGTGAATACGTACGCGTTTCATTAACATGAATTTGATACATAACTTTCGTAACGCTAAATATGACGCTATTTGTCAGCTGTATTCTCGTTTACCATTTTGCGTCAGTCGTCAAACGTCAAAAATAAAACACAAAAACGGGTTCGCTTATTATCACGATATTCCCATGCAGTTCGCGCGAACCTTCTACATTCCACTACTATCTGAATCCCACAAAGATGGAAACGCAATCTAAGAGGGTTCTATTTTTTCAAATCATTGATTAAAAATTATGAATCGACAAAACTGAAAATTTAGATCCGCAGCTCAAAGAGATGCGCACTTTGGTGAACAACTATATTTTTAGAAAATTATTTATAAAAAAAAGTATATTTATTAGTCGCTAAAGCGAATAAAATAAAGTTTAGATCTGTAGCCAACATGATGCGCACTTTGGTAACAGTCATACCTTTTAAATATTGCCTGAAGAATTACAATTCATTCATTTGTCACTACGGCGACTATAATGAAATATTTCAATCGCAGTTACGATTCCAAACTGTCGTGTCGAGCGAGATTATCATAAATTTGCGATGTTATCGCTCTGCATTCGCCTAGAGGTCTGACGGCGCTCGTTAGCGTCAAATCTTTATTTACTTTAGCACTTTTTCCTTCGCCGATTTTATCATTTCTATTTTCTGCGTTAGAAATAACTATGTTAAAAAATCTCTCTACAATAATACCCAAAATAAAATAGATAGTGTTCGCTACTAGTAGTCAGCCTACTTATACATGCACAAAGGGTAAGAGGCAAAATATATAATTCTGCCCTGACAAATTCTTCCGTATAGACAACATTGGCTAACCTATATCTAACTATAACAGTAACTGATCGCTTTTTACCAGTTGCGCGTGTATTACTAACACGCGACTTCGTTTTAGGTTTTGCTCGACTGCGACTATAACATTGATGCCAGATGTAAAACCATCCAACTTCACTCCGGACGACAAACAAAACAAATAACCTTTGATGTAGTGTCGAGACACTATTTATTGGCATTTTATCACATCATTCTCCGTCGTTTACATTTCATTTTCATCAAATACACGAACTCAAGTTGTAATTGGTGTCGTATATTCTTGCTAATGTAGTCGTAATTGACCAGTTAAGTTTTTTATTACCGGGCGTATTCGGGAATCAGTTTGGTCGTGACCTCTAATACTAAGGCCATCAAGCAATTTATTCTCTGAATACATCTTGCTAAACAAGTTCAAATTGCCTATTGGCAAAATAAACATGAATTTGATAAATGTGGCAACCATTTTATCACGCGTGTATCCTGTGCGTCGCAGGATACCGTAACGTGACTACGGGTCGCAGCGCCTTGAGGCTGTCAACACTCATGGGCTTATGCAACAACCCGTCTCACAACTTTTTAAACTAATCATGATTAATTATATATGCATCACGGTAATTTTATTCAGTCTGGTTATTGAGATTTATTTATACAACACCAATCTCGGACTGGAAGGAGTTACATAATCTATCCGGCAATTAGATCTAGCCATAGCGCGAATATTAAATTTAGGAGAAATACCGGTGCAAAATAAAAATTTAAGTCCGACAACTTCCGTGCATAGCGAATTTTATAAAAAAACAATTCAGGTAACTAATACGAGGTTAGTAATCTATTCTTTCTTTTACAAGTAAATATATAAATTTTCTGTCTCAAACGTATACATTTATCTAAAAATGTTAACTTGCAATAGCTCACTCGAAAAACCTTATTCATTTGGTATGTATTGAATAAACTCTACAGCTAACAGGCTCATTATTGTCAAAGGTAACAATTAACATCCGTAAAGGTAATCGGGATTTCTGGGACTTAATCACTGTTTGAATTGCATTTATTTGTTACGAACTGTTTTTGTTCGAGATCACATATCTTTATCCCTTTCCAAAAAACGTTAAACGTTTCTTTGAATCCAATTCCTATGGAGATTACAAATCTCGTTATCCGGATTATGAGTTGGATATTATAATTGTAACATTCTAAATATATTGTTCAAGTGAAAAAGGGCGGTTATAAATAACATTCATTTATCTCTTTATGTTTGCGCACTCTGATAATGAAGCAGCATAAGTAGTTATATTTGTACCATGGTCTCGGTTGTTAGAGCTTTATGTTATTGGAACATGTTCGCCATTGTACCGAGATTAGTCAATGGCCCTTATTATATAATTAAGCCGCCTTATCAGGCTTCAATTCCTACAGAATATATATATACATGAATCCTTACTTATTTTTCCACTTGACCACACACTGAAATTCAAGTCAAACAGTCAAATAAACAATGAATCGTTTTTGAAAAAAAATTAAAATCAGTCTTAAAATTAAAAATAGAAACTGACAATAACTGTGAATATTGACAGCGCGGGATGATTTCGATATTTATAAGAAAAATATACTATTTACTTAAAATGTTTGAAAATTGCAAAGGATTGTTTTGGCTCTCACAGATGTAATGAAGTAACATACTTATACTTATTAATTACAAAACAACAAACCTGGTTATGATATATTGAGAACTGACTTCATAAAAAAATTGAAATTGTGAAGGGACTTTATGGACATGCTGTATATATTTAAATCCTAACTTTTTTTTTCATCTGACCACACTCTGGAAGTCAAGTTGAACAGTCAAATAAACGATAAATCGTTTCTAGAAATAAAAAATGAAATGAAATAGTCTTAAGCAAATTATCAAAGTAAACGATGGAAATCGAGAATAAATGTAAATACCGACAGCGCGGAATGACTTCAAGCATTGAAATGAATATCTTAAAACAGTGGTTTCTAACTTTTCATGGCTCGTGAAAATGGCCCCCCCCCCCCCCTAAAATAAAAAGCTGGGGAACATACTTAGAAAGTCACGGGTCATGACTTAGAATATAAAGTATAAACCATCGGAAAATGTCAGGATTTTGTACTTTTTCAGACGGAGTTTTATCATACACTGAATCACACCGAAACTTATAATATATAATAATATAATTACATCAGATAATATGGTGCTAATAATTAAGGGAAAATATTTTACAGCTGTTCGGAAACGGCTGCAATTAAATTCGTAATTTAGATAAAAGAATTCCATTTCAATTGTGGTAATCGGTTTGACTTTAGCCGACGAGTTTAGGCTCTGTATATTCGGAATATTATGTATGTAAAGTGAAAGATAATGAAACTAGCAAACGTAACAAAGTATAGGGAAGCAGTGCCAAGGGGGACACAGAGCAGTTGGACGGGGGTCACAATGATGGGCCCAAAGTTATTTTTATAGAATTTCGTTTGTATATTTTCCTATATAATAAAATTCCACATTCTCAATAGTTCCATACTATAAATGCCACTAGAATGATGAACACGAGGGCCATGAGTGCCGAAAGGGTGCCACGAGTCATAGAAGGTTGAGAACCACTGGTAGAGAGTATTATATAATATTAAAATAAAGTAGATAATGCAATCTGTATAGTATATAAAACCCAAAATCGCCTTTTTCCCACATCGTGAAACGAGATTTTTATTTTCTCATTAAATCCTTAACAAAGATGGCTATTTTATCACTTTTCAAAACTGTCATTATATTTTGAAATGCTTTTAATCTGCATTTATATTATACTTTTGTAAGGTAATATCTTACAACTCCCCCGTGAAAAAATTATCCGATAACTCAAACCCGAATCAAACTCGAATATTTATACAGTTTATAAACTAAAAACCACATAAACAGATCTTCCACATAATTTCCATCTGTTTGAAAATACACATTCGCTCAGCTCCCTTGGAATCAAACCTTCTGCCTACCGTCCTATATATTGCACCCCAATTTTGTTCCTCGGCGGAACACATTCAAATAGAGACAAGACCCTTTTATATCCATCCTCTGTCCTAAACTAATTTAACACTGAATCAAAATTACCTGATAACAATAATAGCAACTATAAATCTAACGACCATCTTCCAACATCAAATTAGTTTAGGCTTAGTAACATCTCAGACAAAGCTGTTCAGTTTAGTCCAATAGTCTTTCTTCGTCGGGGGAATACATTTAAATGAAGACGAGACCCGAATAACCATCCTCTGTCCTTGACCAACACTCAAACTGGTACTTCCGTAATATATGTACCAGGTTACGGTTAGGCCATAATTTTATTTCGATTTTTCTCATTTTAGTTCTATTACGAGTTCGGGACTAGCTGTGTTAGCCAAGTTAATATCCCCCTGCCCATAAGTTTCAGTCCCGTTGCACAATTCGATGTAAAGTAGGCAAACAAAATTAGTTACCTCCATTTTGGTACACATACTTTTGGAGCGCCCTCAAACTTACCGGAATCAGTATAGTACCGTTAATAGCAACTATAAATCTAACGAGCATCTTCTGTCATTAAATTAATTAGGCTTAGTAACCTCGTAGACAAAGCTCTTCAGTTTAACCTATTATCCGTTATTTTGCCTGAGGCTTATTTACGTTGCACGTGAATATTTTGATATCACGCATCCAACGCGTGACGAACAACCGGTAACTCTTTTAATTTGTGAAATTAAAACGTGATTTGATTTCTGAATTTTATTGTGCAATGTACGAATGCGCGTGAACTCGGGGCAAAAATTTCTTGCTGGTTATTTAGTGCTAACCAACTGATAGCGATCTTTTTATGCTGTTGCGAAAGAATAGGTCATAGGACAAAGGTGACACTGCTGATTGATGAATTGATAGTTTTCTTTTGATTTGCTAAATTCCGATAAGAGCATTCGTAAAATAAATAAACCTTAAAACTGAAAAGTTTTTTTTTACGTTTTAGGCCGCCCTCAGACTTGATTACATCTGAGAAGT